CTGGACCTGGCGGCGCCCACCGCCGAGGAGGCGCAGCGCTGGGTGCGCGGCTTGGCCAAGCTGCGCGCGCGCCTGGACGCCATGAGCCAGCGCGAGCGCCTAGATCAATATCCTCCCGGCGGCTGGCGGCGCGGACATGGGGGGACAAGTCGGTGCGTGGAGGGAGGTGGGCCCTGAGAACCCCAAGCCGAGGGGAGGTAGGGCCCTGGCCTTCCGGGGTCCACAGTCTGAGCCTGAGTCCCTTGCCCCTTGTCTTAAAAACTGAGGATGGGGACAGGGCCTCCTGGCTCTGGGGAGCCCCAGGCCCACGGAGGACGGCCCGCTGGGCCAGTTCCATGGAGGACAGCCTGCTCCTGTGGTCAGGGAGTCCACAGGCCCCTATACCAAGAAGCCCCCAAAGCCTGGTGGTGGTGCCAAACCTGTCAGTTACCTGCCGGCTGGGGGTGGTGCCAAACCTGTCGCTGGTATTTCCTGAGCACCCACACCTGGATCCACTCCTACCTGCACCGGGCAGACTCCAACCAGGACAGTAAGATGAGCTTCAAGGAGATCAAGAGCCTGCTCAGAATGGTCAACGTGGACATGAATGACATGTACGCTTACCGCCTTTTCAAGGTACGCACCTGCCACCTCTCTGACCTCTGACCTCTGCCCTCCCCCTGACCATCTGAGTCATCAGCTTTCGTCTCCATCCAGCTTTTGTGGAGATAGGGGCCTTTCCCCGCAGAAAGGTCACATCTGGGCCTACTTACCCTTTTACCCTCCCCTGAGGCTAGGGGTCAGGATGGGAGTGCTGAGGGGAAAGGCTGGCCTAGAACTTCTCTCCTCCCCTCAGGCAGACCCCAAGGGTAGGGAGGACCTTGGGCCTCCCCACTGCTCCCACATGAGCAGCGAAGCTGTAGTTTTCATTTCTCTAAGTCCACAGGGCACCCTTTGCACAGGCGACCATGTGTGATTTGCACACGGGAGCAAGGAGGAGTCGGCTGACAGGCACATGCACACCCTCCTCTGCTGTGGCACATGTAGCACCTCCACACCTTTGGGAGCACAGACAGGGGCACACAGGCTTGGGCTCTGCGTTCATGGCTTAGAGCACATGGCAGACCTCTGTGTGGATGTTGACTATGTGACCAGCCTGTGACACTGAGAGATAGGAGAGTCACGGCACCTGTACTCCTGGCCCAACAGCTCCACGTGGTCCTCAGTTCTTTGTTGCTCATTGACCCTGGGTATGAATGTGGCAATGTGAGGATGGTAATCACATGGGGTATACACATGGGGTGGGGGGAAGGTGTGGCACAGGGGCTCAGTCCTGCCCACATTTTTCCTCCCACATCTTGATTCTTGGGGCAAGTAATGATACAGAGGGACAGGCACTGAACCCAAGAGACCTTCCTTAACATCTCAGCCCTGCAGGCTACCAGCTGTGTGCACTTGAGTGAGACCGGAGCTTCACTAGCTCTCAGTTTCTCTACCTGTGAAATGGGGGACATTCGCCTTTCCGGCCATGGTAGATGACAGGTGTCAGTGCAGGCCACCTTTCCCAGGGTGTCCCATCCTCTGAGTTTCTCCCTGTGCTTCCTTAGGAGTGTGACCATTCCAACAACGAGCGGCTGGAGGGGACTGAGATTGAGGAGTTTCTGCGGCGACTGCTGAAACGCCCCGAGTTGGAGGAGATCTTCCATCGGTACTCGGGCGAGGACCGCGTGCTGAGCGCCCCTGAGCTGCTGGAGTTCCTGGAGGACCAGGGCGAGGACAGCGCCACACTGGCCCATGCCCAGCAGCTCATCCAGACCTATGAGCTCAATGAAACAGGTGGGGGTCTGACAGATGGGTTAGGGTCAACACAGCCCAGGTCTTGGCATCTGATAGGTCTGATAGTTCTGGGTTCCCAGCTAAGTGGGCTCTGCTATTACTGGCTGTGGGCACCATCTTGGGTAGGTTATCTCACCAATTCCAGACTCAGCTGCCACATCTGTAAAGTGACATAGTAATGTACCTTCCTCACAGAGTTTGGCTGAAGATTAAATGCCATAACTTTGTAGAGTCCAGTAGGTAGACAGGTGTTCATCATTACTAAGTAGAGTGAGCTTTGGGGGCATTTGGGGCCAGACACGGCAGTCCCCTGTGTGGCCTGATGCTGTCTTCTGCCCATCCCTGCAGCCAAGCAGCACGAGCTAATGACGCTGGATGGCTTCATGATGTACCTGCTGTCGCCCGAGGGGGATGCCCTGAACCCAGCCCACACATGCATGTTCCAGGACATGGACCAGCCCCTCGCCCACTACTTTATCTCCTCCTCCCACAATACCTATCTGACCGACTCCCAGATTGGGGGGCTCAGCAGCACCGAGGCCTACGTGAGGTACCTAGCGGAGGGATGGTGGCAGTAAAGCCCAGTTTGGCCCCAGTTTGGTGGGAAAATGGGGCTCAATTCCCACTGTGGGCTTCCTGGGGCCCACCTGGCTCAGCATGTCTGTTTCCCTGCTCTGTGCCACCCACATGACACCTTGCCTATCTGTCTGTCCGCAGAGCCTTTGCCCAGGGATGCCGCTGTGTGGAGCTGGACTGCTGGGAGGGGACAGGAGGGGAGCCCATCATCTACCATGGTCACACGCTCACCACCAAGATCCTCTTCCGAGATGTGGTCCAGGCCGTGCGTGACCACGCCTTCACGGTGAGCCCAGCCACCCTCAGTCCTTCCAAAAGGCACCCCTGCCCAGAGACTCTCTCCTTGACCAGGTGCTGCTGAGACAGCTGGCCAATGGGGTAGAATAAAGTTGAGTGAGAGGCTTCCTTCTCCCACCTTCATATTTTGTGTATCACAAAATTTCCAGAAGAAAACCTTGGGGTAGGGAAGGACATTTTAATAATTACTCCCAAAGAGTAAGCCATAAAAGAGAAGCTTGACATGGTATCTACATAAAATTGCAATTTCAGTCAAGCTATGAAAATCTTACCACCAACAAATGACAGACTGGGGGGCAAAGTTTGCATCCTAAAGACATGGTCACTGTCATTGACATATAAAGAGCATTCATAAAAGAAAGCCATTCCTGCAGCTGCCCTCATCCTCCCAGGTAGTCCACCCCTTCCCCAGGCCCCGTATCTGACCTCTGCCCCTCCACGTACACACTGGCCCCAGTGTGTGTCCCACATCCCTCTGATTCAGTTACCCCCACCCCTCAGTGGGTTCTCCAGACCCCAGCCTTTGCCTGCCTGTCCTGAAGGGGGCTGGGGGCTGCATGTAGCAAGGGTCCTGGTTGGGATGGGAAGAAGGAAGAGGTGAATGACTCTAAGCTGCTGCCTGTCTCTCCCACAGCTGTCCCCATATCCTGTCATTCTATCCCTTGAGAACCACTGTGGGCTGGAGCAGCAGGCTGTCATGGCCCACCACCTCCGCACCATCCTGGGGGACATGCTGGTGACGCAGGCACTGGACTCCCAAAACCCTGAAGAGCTGCCATCCCCAGAGGTGATGCTCCCAGAGCCCCAGCTTAGGTGGGGAAGGATCTGTCTGTGGTCCACCATCCACCCCTGCTCATGCCACCTTCCTGGTTCGGGACCCCTCACCCCTCTCTGCCTTACCCGCCCCCCCCACTCCTCCCTTCATCTGACATCTGCCACCCTGTAGTGTTATCAGTCTCTTGCTGTCCATCTGACTAGACCCACCCCACCTTCTCACCTGGCCTTCGAGGCCCTGACCTCCCTGCTCTGCCTCACCGCCTCGTCGCAGAGTCCCCGCGAGCTCAGCCATTCCCACCTTGAAGGCCTTGGTTGGCATCATTTGCACCTGGAGCTCCCTTCCTAGCCATCTGGCTCGCCAGGCGCACCTGCCTAGAATTCTAGCGCAGCTAAACCTCCTCTCCCTGTGGCCTTAGGAACTTCCCCAGCATTGTGGCGGGAGGTGGTCCTGCCTCCTTTCCTTCCAAACCCCAGGGTATTTTATCTGGATATGTATCCTTTTATGGCTGTTTGAGAAAACTCTCCTCCTACTCCTGGTCCCAAATATGCAAAAATATGTTGATTCATCTTTGTGTGTGTGTGTGTGTGTGTGAGATTTGATTTTTTATTAGCATGAAAAAAACATACATATGGTAAAAAAAAATTGAGCTGTACACAATGGAAAATGGGTTTTCTTCCACTTGGGCTCACCCTTGCCCTATTTCACACGTAGTTCCCATCTTCAGCAGTTTTTTGTGTGTCCTTGCAGGATTTCCCCATGCATATATACCTCTGTCCATAGCTATCTTCTCTTTCAAACGTTACACATAAAAACCCATGTGATTCCATGTTCTACACTACTTCCTTCATGGGAAATCTTTTTTGAAGACGACGACTTCTCTTTCAACACGAGCTGCTGCTCATTTTAAAGGCTGCTGGGTAGTATCCTGATGTTTGGAGGGACCTCATTAGCCAGTCCCCTGTTGATGGCCTCATAGGTTGTTTCCGGTTTTTTTCTATTAGAAACCACTCATCTCTGTGTTTCTTTTCCTGTGCCTTGCTGGTGCCCAGCCAGCCTCTCACGCTGGTGGTTGAATGACCGACCCACCAGCTGACATGGGCAAGGGGGCCTAACCCTGTTGAATGACCGACCCACCAGCTGACACGGGCAAGGGGGCCTAACCCTTCCCTGTTGGCCTCTGCAGCGGCTGAAGGGCCGGGTCCTGGTGAAGGCGAAGAAGCTGCTGGCTCCTCGGAATGAGGACGGGCGAATTCTGTCCGACAGGGAGGACGACGAGGAAGAGGAGGAGGAGGAAGAGGGGATGGAGGCCGAAGAGCAGAAGCGGCAGGTGAGTGGAGGGCTGGGCAGGGGGCTGCACCGCTGCAGAGCTGGGGCAGGAGGCGGAGGGAGGGAAGGGAAGAGGGCTCGGGGCTGGAGCTGGGGAACCCCTCTGGCGCCCATCTTCCAGGCCAAGCAGATCGCCCCGGAGCTGTCGGCCCTGGTCGTGTACTGCCGCGCCTCTCGCCTGCAGACCCTGCGCCCCGCCCCCGCCCCGCCCCAGCCCTGCCAGCTGGGCTCCCTCAGCGAGCGCAAGGCCAAGAAGTTCATCCGAGAGGCAGGTAAGATAGCTGGCATCTGGGGGCAGGCCAGTGGGGGATCCTGGTGGGGCGGTATCCTGAAGTTGGTCTGGAGAGGAGATTAAGGAGTCTTTGGGGGCAGTAAAGAGGTCAGAAGACCCCAGGGAGGGGCTCAGGGAATGAGTGCCCAGCACATGCCCAGTACCAGGCCCTCATGCACGAGGAGAGAGGGCTCAGGGGAGAGGGAGGCGTCGGTCTGCCCTCCCCAGGCATACAGCCAAGTGGTGGGGCCAGACGTAGCTGGGTAATTATGACGTGGGGTGATCAGCTGGGCCATGACAGGGACTCGGGGAGCCCAGAAGGGGGTGAGATCAGGGCAGGATTCCTGACCAGGTGATGCCTGAGAAGACACCTGAGGGAAGGATGAGAAGGAAGCAGCCAGGTGACAAGGGAGAAGGAATTTCTAGACTGGAGGAGCAGGTTGCACAAAGGTCTGGAGGCATGACAACTGGGAGGTTCCAGGAAGCCAGTGTGGCTGGAGGGTGTATGTGGGATGAGTGATGAGAGACGGCATATCAGCCTGGGGCCAAGTGTTTGATGTGCTGAGTGAGGAATGTGGGGATTTGGTGCTGGGATGCAGTGCAGGGCTGTGGGAGGGGTCCCTGTCTCTACCTGGACTTCAGCAGCCTCCTCGTGAGGTTCCCCCACCCTCTGGGTCAGAGAAAAGAGGAGCTGGGGCAGGGGAAGCTGGGGATGAGAATTCAGCCTCTTCCCAGCTTGTCCCTGGAATTGAGGGAGGGGCTACAGCCTGACACCAGGTGAGGGATACCCCAGGAGTCTGTCACAATCCCGCCCAAACTCCCCACCAGGGAACAGCTTCGTTAGGCACAATGCCCACCACCTGACCCGTGTCTACCCGTTGGGGTTGCGGATGAACTCAGCTAATTACAGCCCCCAGGAGATGTGGAACGCGGGCTGTCAGCTGGGTGAGTGCTGCTGCAGAGCTGCGAGTGGGCAGGGTGCCACTTTGTGGGGTAGCCTCTGGGGTGGCATAGCAGGCCCCAGCGGTGATAGGGCCACATGGCTTTCCAGGTGGAAAACTGTTTTGTTGATAACAATTATTTTAAAATTGTGAGCAGGGTATGTGGGGAAACACAAACCAGGCTCGTTTGTTCTTGATAGTGTAAAAGTCTCACATTTTTATGAAGGTAGAAGTTAAAAGTCTCCACCCCCATGTGCCCAGTTGACACACACATGCACATATACCCCTGGCAATGCCATGCTGAGCCCACCAAGGGAGGCAAGTGTGGTCCCCTTGGGGTAGGTATAGAAACCTGACCTTGGCTCTGGCCCAGGCCTGGCCCTGAAGGTGGAGGGCTTCTCCAGCATGCCCCACTCAGCCTCACACTCCAGCCTCAATAGATACCAGGTGACAGTGGGGTTTAAATCACCTGGCTCCCATGACACCGCCCCTCACCCCACCCCCCAAGCCGTAGTGGGATCTGAGCAGCACTACCCAGACAGTAGCACGCTGGGCCATCTTTAGAGAGGAACTGAGTCTTCTGCCTACAGGTCTGTCTAGGGGAGAGGTCTGTCTAGAGGAGAGGGCAGTTAGGCCCCTGAAACTGAGCAGTGAGGAGAGGGCCACTAAGAGCCTGTCCTGATCCTGCTGTGTCCACAGTGGCCCTGAACTTCCAGACACCAGGCTATGAGATGGACCTCAATGCTGGGCGCTTCCTCGTCAACGGGCAGTGCGGCTACATCCTGAAACCTGCCTGCCTGCGGCAGCCTGACACAAACTTTGACCCCGAGTGCCCTGGACCCCCCAGAACTACTCTCACCATCCAGGTTAGCCGCCTGGACCAAGCCCTACCCTGGGCTCAGAGCTGGCTCTGGATGTCCTAGCCCACGGGTGGCAGCCTGAAATGGAGGAAGACAGTGGAGGCCTGGGGACTGCTTGGTGGGCAGGCCAGGCAGGGGCCCCAGTGGGGGCCAGGCTGAAGCTCTGCATTCCCCACAGGTGCTGACTGCACAGCAGCTGCCCAAACTGAATGCTGAGAAGCCGAACTCCATTGTAGACCCCCTGGTGCGCATTGAGATCCATGGGGTACCCATGGACTGTGCTCGAAAGGAGACCAACTACGTGCTCAACAATGGTGGGTGGACCCAGCTGGTGGAAGTGGGGTGGGGCAGATAGCAGAGAATACAGGGAGGTGCAGGGCAGAGGCCAGCTGGCTCTGACTGCCATGCCTATCTGTGCCCTAGGCTTCAACCCCCGCTGGGGACAGACCCTGCAGTTCCAGTTGCGGGCTCCAGAGCTGGTGTTGGTCCGGTTCATGGTAGAAGATTATGACACCACGTCCCCCAATGACTTTGTGGGCCAGTTTACACTGCCTCTCAACAGCCTGAAGCAAGGTTGGTGGGATTGGTGGGGATGGGAAGGGTCAGAGGTCCGGGCCCATAGACCCTGTTCAGTTGGGCTGCAAATTTCCTAAGAGCCTTTCCTGAGCGAGGCTCAAGCTAGGGCCCAAGGGATGGGATGTGGGCAGCAGACCTGATGCCTAGCTACCCTCCCCACAGGGTATCGTCACATCCACCTGCTTTCCAAGGACGGGGCCTCGCTGTCACCAGCCACACTCTTCGTCCATATCCGGATCCAGCACTCCTGAGGGCCCGCTCACCCACCCTGGGGTTCTGCGGATCCAGTCTGCACGCCAGGCAGAGGCCACCTCTGGAGTGGAGGGGAGGGGAGGGGGAGTACCAGCCTGCCCACTTTGCCTGCTCACCAGGCTCTGGTTTCAGCCTGGTGCTGAGGGCTGCCCCAGCCTCTCCTGAAGGACAGGCGGTTTATCTTTTCCCTGCAACCCTGAGATGGCCCCAGCTCCCTGAGTACTTGGCCCACCCTGAATTATGGCTTAAGAAGAGCCAGGCCTGCTGCTACCAGGAGACTTGGGGCGTAGGACATATGAACCCTTAGCCCCTCTGCCCCCTCAAAGGAGTCCAGCCACAGCCCTTACCCCTCACCCAGGCACTGGCCACCCCCTAAGGACTCCCTCCTCAGGTTTTCCTAGGCCTCTCCCTCCAGCTTTTGAACCTGAGCTCCCTTCCCTTGTTAAAGCAAGAAGGGAGACCTGAGGTTGGGAGCCCTGGGACACCGAGAAGTAGGTTTTTAGCTCATTTCATAGAAGAGCCCTGAAGAGGACAGTAGAACAAGACTATTTTTAAAAAATAAAGAAGCAAGCTTCCTTTACTACTGCCACCCTGAGCACCTGAGCCACAACCAGGCCCATGAGGAGAGATGGGGGCAGAGTCCCTTGGGCCTCTTCCCCCAGCAGGGGGGGAGAGGATTTGTCTAAGACTGCCAGGGGATGCTGGAGATGCCACAGCTCAGAATAGCCCTACCCCTCCTTTTACCTTAAAGCTGCTGCATGCATTATGACTGTGAGGACACCAATCACAAGCTGCCCCCACCAACCCTTGGAGGAGCCTTGAATGGGGAGGCAGCCGGATGGGCTTCTGCCAGAATAGAACTGTTATGGCCCTAAAGGGGATGGGGACAGGACTCTGAGGGGCCTCAGACAGACCCCCACTTTCCAGGCTCATCAGGGATTAAGGCCCCTGTCAGTAGATAAATCCCAGAGACTTGGGGCTCACCTTCCACCAGCCAACCAGCCTTTTAGATGAAGGCCTGGAGGCAGCAGCTGTTCTGGTCTACCTCTATAGATGCTAGGAGAGTGGGCCGAGACACCAGATGATAGAATCCAGAGAGAAAACCTATCAGAAAGGGGGCTTTCTAGGGTTAAATGTGGATCCCTGGCACTTTGGGTTCCATCAGGCAACAGCACTAATACTGAACAAGGGCAGAGAGTGACAGCAGTTCCCCGGAGGCAGGCCATGTCCTCTCAGGTTGCAGCTCAGGGCTCACGTCCCCTGGAAAGGGCTCAGAGGCACCAGCCATGGGGGGCCTGAAAGGAGCATGGGGTCAGGGAATGGATGAAAAGTTCCAGAGGAAGAGAACAGGGAGTGGCAAGTCCAAAGCAGTTACTCAGGCCTTTCCTCAGAAGCTGGTTCAGTAGGTAGGCAGTGGGGCCTGGTGACCTACAGTGCTAAAATTACCCCTGGTGGCTCAAAAGACCCACCCAGACCCTGGCCCAGAAGGAAAGATGTAGCATCTGGCCGAGTGGGAAGGGGCAGTACCTGCACCCTGCATCAGAGGAGCCACTGCTGACCCAGCCTGAGGGGGCCCGTTTGCTCCCAGCTGTGGAAGCCCAGGATTGGCTCCTCTGCCAAGGTACCTGGTGCTGGCACAGAGCCCAGCTGCTCCTCTTACATGGAGTGAAGCTGGGTCAGTACTGGCTCCTTGCTGGCGGCTGAGAGGTTTAGGGAAAAGAGCCAAGTTTTGCCCTGAAGGGGCAGCCTTGCCAAGAGTCTTCAAAAGTTGCCCAGTGCTGTAGGCATGAGAGCCCTTCCTGCAGGGTGCTGTCACTCAGGGAGAGAGGGCACTCTAGCCCAAGTCAGAGACTCCATCAGTTCCACTGCCACCTGCTGTCCACAGGAAAACCAGGAGGGCGAGGTTTTATTCAGCTGCTTCCTTTATTAGAAACAAGTGAGATGTATCAAGCGGAACAATGCATTTGGTATTTCTTCCCCCACCCTGGAAATGGATGCCCCTCCCACAGCCCAGAGAAAAGCCAAGACAAAAAGGTGAAGCTTCCCTGTTCTGTTCCCAGATGCAGCACCTTGCCTGTAGTCAGTATTTTTTAATTGAATGAAATTGTCCCACAAAGCATCCCTAGGGACTCTGTTCGCAGGCCTGCTTTCACTTTGCAGTAGGGCAAAAACGAAGCCTTGGGTCTCCTCTGTCTGGGGCAGGTGGGCCAGGCCACAGGAAGGCTGCCCCCTGGGCAGGTAGGCACTGGACGGAGATACACTCCACCCCCTTCCCCTGGTCTGACAGCCCCTCACCCTCTCCTAGACCGCAGCTCCCTGAAGCTATCCTGCCTTTGGGACATCCCTTGGGTTAAATGCTGGTCATCTTTGAGCAAAGAAAGACCACTGGGACACCCACCCTTGGGCTTCAGTGAGCTAGCAAGTAAGGGGGGCATTGGCAGTTAGAAGGGAGGTACAGAAAAGGCCTGAAATTTTCCATAAATCTAGGTGTTGAAGTGGCTTGGTATGGGCCTGCTTTTAAACCAGACATTAGCATCTTTGAAAGTAGGCATGTGTGGGGTAACAAGCCCTATACAGACCTCTATCCAGAGCTGAGGCTTCTTTTTCTACCCAGCTCTCTCCCTACACAGACAAGGAGGCCATGGGAATTTGCCACAAGGTCAGGGGTCAAATGCAGTCAATCCAAAGCCAGGAGATAAACACAGAAACATGAGTGCCCAAAAGCCCAGTGCCAACAAGAAATACTGGTGGCACAGAGTAAGGGCCATGCCCAGGAGGCTCTCCAACAGCAGCTGCCTGAGGCATGTCCCAGGTGATGAGGCCCCAGGTCCTTCCCTTGTTTGGTTCTAGCCAGCCATGGATCCACCATCCTGCAAGTCTCTTTGTAGGGAGGCCTTGAACCCCAAACAATGGTTCTCTCTGACCTGAAGTCCTGGAAGGAGTTGAGTGAAGAACCCAAGGACTGGAAAAAAGGAGACATAGCAGCCACCGAGCCGATTCCTGAAGACCTGGGTTGTGGTGCTACCATGAATAACAGCAGAGTCCAAGGAGCCACACCATTCTGGAGGGAGACACTGGGGCCTTTCCAGGAGATCTGTTTCTTCCAGAGCAGCCACAAGCCTCACAGTTTTGTTGTTACCCTTGGGTCAACCTAGGCAAACTCACTCCAGGGGCTGTTATGCACCCCACATTATAGAGGCAGTTCGGGCTGGGACTTGGTCCAGAGCTGACCAAGCCACTGACAGGGAACGTTCTAAGTTTCAGGTCCTGCCCAAGGTAGGAAAGAGTCGGGTATTTTGTTCTTTGATATCCATATAAGCCTGCACAGGCCTAGCTGCTCTGGGACTTGGGGCGTTGTGTTTGATGTCTGGGGGGCTGTAAGGCAAGCCCCTGCCTCTCTGACTCCTCCTGTCTGCGGAATGCAGTGAGCATCTTGCTAAGAACAGCAGCTTCTTTGGTCTGGGTATCTTGGAGTCAAGGAGTCAAAGGTCAGGCATGATCGTTGGTGCCTGTGGGTTGCAGCACAGGGACAATAGGAGAAGCGAGGCCCCTAGAGGCCTCTGATGAAAATCCAATCCAGTCTACAAAGAGCAGGCAACATTCCAGCAGGTGGCACAGCTGCTTTCCCAAGCACACAATTTCTTCCAGCTTTGGAGATTGCAGAATTAGCCTCTGGTAACTCTCACCAAAACCCACAGACTGAAACAGCTCTGCTGGCCTGCAGCGCATGGCTTCAGTTAGTAAGATCAGACTGAGCCTGGCCTCCTGGCTAAGACTTCCTTCCCCCTACAAGTAGCTGAGAGGTGAAAGCAGCCAAGAAACCCCCACACCACGCTATCCACTCATTTACTTTCTCCTAGAGCAAAAGTTACATACAAGCCAGGATATGGGTTGCTGACAATTCCACAGCCCAATCCTCCTTAAGCCACTTGGCTGAGCACAAGTGAGGAATAGGAATGTCTACACAGACAGCCACATGACCAGAGGTTCCATTATTGTGGAGAAACTGGCAACATCAATAACCGTCACCACCACCACAAAAATCCACCAAATATCATCAGTGAAAATCACACTCAGACAATGGCAAAATGAAATCATTTCTGTTGTCAAGTCCAGATTGGCATCTAACCACTGCTCCTTGCCATTTCTTGCAGGCTGTTTTGGAAAGGAGCACAAGAGATGGCCAATGGGTTGGAAGGCACAGGCCAGGGACCAGTGGCTGAAGGGGCCTGGAAATCCGCCCCACACCATTCTTGCCCAGCCACCCTGGGGGCATCAGGGTGCTGCCTCTTTGCTCTTAGATGAGCTAAACAGGGCTTGCACTGACATGGTCTCCACAAAGTCCCAAATGCTACAAGGAGGTCAAAGGTCCCCTTCAAACTGCCAGTCACTCCTGGGAGTGGAACAACAATCTCACGGGGACTCATGCCTATAAGATTGACAACAGCTGGCTAAAGAGTTGGCAGGATGACTTCCAACAGGGAGCAGGCCAAGAGGATGGGAAAAGGGACTCAATTAATGAAATCTGTTTCCACAGACTCTCACCACTGCCCAGTTCCTGAATGCAGAAAAGGCCCAGGGTCTGCAGGAAAGCCTCTGAGTAGGGTTGGCTCCACCTAGGACTCCACCTGTAGTCTGTGAGATCTAAGCCTCCCCAAAGCTTGGCACAGTCCCTCCACCATACCCTGCCTTCTTCAAGCCAATCATTCCAGCCAATTCAGAAGGGGAACTGGATAAAATTCCCCACATCCTTTCTCCTGCTCCCCCAAGAAAAGTCAATGCCTGCTTCTAGGAAATAATTCACTGTACCAGTGTGTATGTCTGGCACTGTCTTGATTCTAATTTTGAGGAATGATCTGGATTCAGCTTTTCATTAGAGACCGAACATCCTTGTACATTTGGAACATGAAAGATATTTAAAATATTTATATATATATAATATATATACTTTTATTATTCACCCGTTAACTCCATAATAAGCCAATCACGAGCTAGTTTTCAGCAGTTACATTCCCTTGATCACGGCTGCATAAGGATGTGATTAACTGGAAAACTGGGAGACCAGAGACACAGCCAGAGGTGACATCACGCAGCCTACGCCATTGCAATACAATTGTCAAGTTCAGTGGCGGTTTGGTAAAGCCGGTTCACTTCTGTTCCCTTTGCCAGGGATTCTCACGTTTGTGAAAATTGGACCATCAAGTGGTGGGGTTCCATTTCCTGGTTTGAATTCTCAGTGGCTTTATCCAGAATCTCACTGGCAATTGGTTACTGTAACACCAGCCCAACCTAGGAGAGCCAATGGGGAGGGGTAGAGCTGAGTAGACAGTTGTTCGAAGCCTCTCCCACTTCCCCACCCAGACCTGAAGGGCCAAACAACTGAGCCCGCAGTGCCTGCCGCTGGGCTGTGCAAGCAGACTCACAGCAAGCCGAGGCGCACACCTCATCAACTTTTATACATTTATCACACCCTTTACAGAGAGCAACTGCCAGCATCTTAAGGAACACTGGTCAGCAGGCCTCCGTCCAGCAGTCAGTTATTTTTTAACTGCTGACCACACCCATGGTCCTGGGCTGCCCTCTGGAGCTGGTGGAGGAAGGGATGAGGAGGGTCACGCTGGGAGGGCAGCACCCCAGCAGAGGAAAAAATCCTCGACTCTCAGCCTCGACCTTCCTGGCTAACTGTGGGCAACTTGATTTGCATGGTTCCCTGAGATAGTCCCAAATGCCCTGCCTCCAGCCAGCTGAAGTAACTCACCTTCTGGGAAGAGAAGCTGGAGACAACCTTCCTGCTTCTGTGTGGCTCTGGAGCCCATCCCCTCTGCCACCCTCACACCAGCTGCTAAAAGGGGAGCAATGATCTTGCTAGCCTGGCCCAGAGGAAGGGGACTTTTGAAGGGGTCAAACACCAGTTAGGGGGCTGCTTACATACCTTCTCTGCCCCCATGCTGGGGCACTTCCAATTGTAAAGATAATACTGCAGGTTGCCGTCCCCTATGCCAAACTTGAGCTTCTCCAAGAAGGTTTTGTTCTCCATGAGATCCAGTGCATTGAACACGTCAAACCCTTTCTGCATAGCAGCAGGGAGCAAGAGGGAGAGATGAAGAAAGGTAAAAACTGCCTTACCTTCCAGCCCTTTTCTATCCTTTCAGAACCACCCCACAGGCAGCCACGAGAGTGATCTTCCTTCCGAAGCTCTGGATGCTTCCATGTTAAATCCCAACTCCAGAGAGTTCCCGCTCACTAGTGGCGTTTCTCAGGACACTCTAAGGCCATCCTACCTGGCCTCTCCTCAGTGTCCCTCCAAGCACACTTGTGTACTTGGTGTCCAGGCCACTGCTCCCGTTGTTCCTTGTCACACCTCCCTGAAGTACTCTAGTAACTTCCACAGTCCTCTCTGGAGACTAAGCCCTGAACCCCTTTCTCGGAGAAGCTGGTTCCTGTCAGCACTTGCACTGCTCCCTCACTCCCTGGACACCTCAACTCTTAGGCCTTCAGTGTACACACTGTGATTTCATAACTGCTGCTCTAGGACTGTGACTAAGATACTTCCTACATCTCACCACCTTGATCAGAAGCTCTCCAGGGCAGAGCCTGGGCTCACTATAGGAAGAACCCATAATGAAGGACTGAGGATGACCTCTTGGGTATAAAGGACACCTGGGCCCCTCCCCCCCATACTCTATATAGTCAGCACTCCAATGACTCACCAGGACAGAGACCAATCTCCCCATTCCCTCGCTGGGGAAGTCGTAAGGAGAACCCCTTTCCTCCCCGAGAAGGCCTGGCTATTCAGGCTCCTTGGCAGCGCCTCCCATGAGAACGAAACTCACTGAAATAAATCAGGAGGAGTTCAATGCCTTCACTTCATGTGGATGCTCCTTGCTCCCTCCTAGTTTCTAGGTGCTGGCTGAAAACTGGTGGGTTCTTCCCTAAGCAGAGCAGGAGGGCAAGGAAGGCTCAGAGCCCCCGGCCCATGAGCAGCTACCACCATTGCACTGCCACTGCCCCACAGATCTGACCCTCCCCTCTGATCTGCTCCTCACCATTTTGGCGAGAACAAGGGCATCGCTCATGAGGTCTAGAAGAGGGGTCTGGGTGTGAACGTTGTAGAAAGAATAAGCAGCCTTTAGACTCTTGTGGGTTGGATGGTTCATGATGGTGGAGGGAAGCGTATAAAAGCTCAGGAAGTCTGTCACCTCACCGTTTGCATTCTGAAGGGAAGACAGTAAAAGGAGTCAATGTCATGCATGCACAGGGATCCTGTAGTCTGGGAACAAAATGTTTCCTCTTGCTCTCAAACCCCCCACAGGCAGCTCTGCCCCCCTAAACAAATGGGTGGAAACTGAAACAGGATATGCAGGGAGGAGAAAATATACTGGCCGGGCACTTGAGGACAGAGCCAGGAGGAAAATCCAGGCCAGAATGTGGGCTGAATCTGTCAGCTTTCTTTCCTGGCTTATGCACCCCCAGGGATTTCTTGAGGCTCACATTCCCCAAAATTGCATCCCTGAAGCCTGACCAGCACCACCTCAAACCAGACAGGCAGGGATTGCAGGCTTACCTGACTAAGAAGAGCTCAGTTCTCTCTGTCTCTGGGGCCCAGGGGAGAGAGAAGGGCTCATGGCAAGTCCAGAGGGATCATTTTAGAAAATGCAAACTACAACTTCCTGTCTTTAGGGAGGACCAAGCAAGGGTGGTCCAGGAAGTCTAGGATGCCAACACTCCCGTCAACTGGCTCCTCAGTCACTGAGCCTAGGAAGCCTAGCCATTTAAGGATGCCTCTCTGTGAATGGTCAGAGGCCCGAACACCGCTCCCACTCACCTCCACCACAAAAGTGTCAATGATATTCTCCTGGGGGTAGAACCAGTGCTCCACCTCATCCTGGCTCATGACTGGTGTGAGGTGGAACTGCTTCAGGTACCTGGAGAGGAGCTGGTGCACTATTGGAATGTCCTTTTTTTCCATTGGTCGCAGTCCAGCTGTCTTGGGAGACTGGAAGGAAGGTAGACAAAACAGCATCAGATGTGCTGATTGAGCATCTTAGCTCCTCTCAGATCCTACAGGCACCAAAAACTTCACATTGTCTCCCTTCTTACCTGACCTTGGATCTATCCACCCAGGCCCTCAGGACAGAATCCTCTGTCACCCTTGGCAACTTCCTCTCCCCCACAGTCCATATCTACTCAGGCACAAGTCCTGTTTCTCCAGTGTATTTTGGCCCTTTCCCTCCTCGTTAAGGCTGCTGCTTCAACCTCTTATCCATATGTCCCAGGCTGTCTTCCTAAGAAACACAACCCCCCACACATCTCCCTTGTTCCAAACTCCTCAACACAGAGCACAAGATCTTCTACCCCTGGACCAGCTGGCTGTTCTGACTGCGCCTTCTGTCCCTCGCTTTGTCTACTTGGATGCCACTGCACCAGAATGTCCACCCCCAGGACATTTGAAAATACTGGAAGACATTTTTGGTTGTCACAACTGGGGGGAGGGGTACTACTAGCACCTAGTGGGTATAAGCCAGGGACACTGCTGAAACATCCTACATGCCCTGGACAGTTCCCATGACAAAGAATCACCCGGCACAAAATGTGAACGGTGCCTAGAGGGAGAGAAGCCCTGACTACCCCACGGATGTGATGGAGTAGGCCCAGCCCAGTGCTACTCCTGGGCTTCAGGCGAAGCCTTTCTTGTCCCCTCTCCTCTGAGACCTCACAAACTTCTCCCATTGAACTGTACCTGATCTGGTTCTATACTGGTCTCTCTCCTATAGACTAAGAGTACCCAGCAGACAGGTTTCCCGCTGCAGACACTGTGGAACCCCCAGGCCCAGCAGATCTGTACTGGGTGTTCACTTTGTCTGCTGGATGCCACTGTACCAGGAGTCCTCCAGAAGAACACTCATGCAAGTTAAGTTCAGAAGAAAAGCACCGAACTCCTGGAATTAACCTCAAACCAGAATCCCACCACACACCTTTTTCTTAAAAAATGTTTTAGTGGAATGAAGCCATGTGGTGCTCTAAAGTCAATACTGGGGCTGAGAGAATGTCCCCAAAGACTCAATCTGTAAAGATGGGATCAGCCAAATCTGAAAACAAGGTGGAGTGATAGTTTTATATACCTCAATCACTGCCTGATGTAACTGCTTCCCATGGTAGGTATTGCTCTTAAAATAGCAGTTCCAGGATCTCTCGCTGCCAAAATTCCTTGCTAATCCTGATGCTGCCAGGGAATAGTTACTGACTTGTTTCTACAAGACAGCTCCCACACCTAAAGCAGTCATGCTAAAGTTTTTCACCCACAGGCAGGGAGACCCAGAGAGATTCTTTGGTTGCTATACACTTTAATGTTCTCTGCCTGCCTAGAAATCAGGGCAAATCTGTCATAATAACAGAAAGGAGAAGACACCCAACATTGTCCCTCATATCTGCTTCTTTTCAACAGTGTCTAACTGCGATGCAGCAGTCCCTCAAACTGGGACACTAATGACACCAATCCAGTGGTGGATTATTTTGATCCCAGGGTGACTAATCCAGCTGAGTGGCTGATGAGTCCAGGTGGGGCAGGAAGCCCTCTGATAAGCAGGCACCCAATAACTCTGTGAGGCTGCCTGCAAGAGCTCTGGGGGAAGAGAGACGATCTTTAGAGCCATTAGGATACTGAAGCCAGGCACACCTGGAGAACATGGAACATTTGTTTTGCTGGGAAACTAGGCAAACTGAAGCCCAGAACAGAAAGTCAGCTCACTCCATGTTGCCCAGTCCTTCAATGGCAAAGTCTAGATGGGGACATTGGAGTTAGAAATCAGGGCTTCCCTCACGAGCCCAGGTCATTTGTCCTTTACCTGACTTGGCAGAGGGAGCAGCAGACACTCTATGGCTTAGTTACACTGGGCTCTGGGAGGTACTGCAGTTCAGTGAGTGGACTCATCTTTCTATTTAGGCTCACTCAGGCTAAAACTGCAGAAAAGAGGTGTTCTCTGAGCCCCAACAACAGATGACAGAGAAGCTAGTCCAGGCGCAGGAGAACTGAGAAAGTCAAATTAAAATAAAGCCCTTGCTATAGGCGACAGAAAACAACGGAAATGGAAAGTCTAGGAATCTGGAAACTATGGGTTGAGTCCGTTTTCTGACCGGTCCCCACCCCCCAAAGCCCTGTTTTCCTTAGGACCAGGCTCTCCTGAGATTCTCTCTTGCCCCCTGCCCATCGCCCTGGGCCACCACTGGCCTCTGGCAGTCGGTAGAGCTTCATGGTACGCTGCATGGTCATATTTCTGCTCAGGTGGGAGAACTTCACTTCAATCAGCTTCCGTGGGTTTAGGGACCGATGCCAGTACCTGTGGGGACACAAATGTTCTGTCCTCAGACGATTCTGGTAAGTCGCATTAAGAGGACAATGGCTACTTTCAACAATAAAGATGTTAAAAAAAAATCATAAAAATAAAATGACAAAGCAATGTACCAAAAAAAAAAGAAAAAGACAATGACATGGAGATCCCCAGATGGCCAGCAGGTGGCATGAGATACACATTTCTTGAGCCAGTGGCACTGCCCTGCTCACCCCCCTCTCCCCCCATGAATGCAGAGCTGCCAGAGCTCTTCCTGGATTCTCTTTCTCCCTGTTTTTCTTTCTCAATTTCAAAAGCAACTTCTGTCACAGTAGTTGTCTGGGAAGAGCACTCCCCACTGCTGGAATCAAGTCAATGGAAAAGACTTACAGTTCTCTACAAGTGTTCACCCTCCTCCTCCCTCCTCTACTGCATTTTCCTGGTGTTTGTATTTTTTAAGTTCTTGAGGCACAGACTGTGATTGTTTCAAACAACTTTCTGAGTAAGAGGTTCTCCTTGGGTCACATGGGGATCAGGCATCCTCTCTCTGGCTCACACAATATTCAAAACAAAATTAAGCCAACAACTGAAAAAACTTTCAGACATTTACCATAAAAAATCCAGATTTGGGTTTGTCCTTAAAAACTAAAACAAGCCTGGCCAGGCGTGGCTCAGCGGTTGAGCGTCAACCTAGGATCCAGGCGATACGGGTTTGATTCCCGGTCAGGGCACATGCCCGGGTTATGGGCTCGATCAATGACTCTCTCATCATTGATGTTTTTAATCTCTCTCTCTCCCTCTCCTTTCCTCTCTCTGAAATCAATAAAGATATATTAACCTAACTAAAACAAAATCCTAGCAGATTGATCCCTTATTTCCAAATAATAGGAATGAACAGGAGCTGAGAATGGCTAATCCCTTTGGAAAGGGTATGATGTACTTTCCAATCTGCTGTTCCTAACTTTACTCCTCCATGCTCCCTACTTGCTCCTGTGTGTACCCACAACCCCTCTTATCAGACACTAAAGAAGCCAGATGCTCTCAGGAAAGCACTAGGCTGGGAGGCAGAGCTGTGACTGACAGTGACACAGCTCCTCAACTAGAGCATACACGTCAGTACTTCTACGGCCTTGCAGGAAGAGACTATTACCTGCAGGTGCCGACAGGCTTTGGTAATACCACCCCAGCAGTGTAAACAGCTTGGAAAATGCCCTCCAGGTGAACCCGCCGGGTTATCTCACGGATTAGGACTGGAGCCACCCTCTTGGAGCGCAGCTTCTTGTGGACACACAAGAAGTTGATCTCCACCATCTTTTTTTCTCTAAAGAGGGAGAAAAAAAAGTGACAAGGCTTTTAACAGGTAAGGCAATCCCTTCAAGCACATGCAGGGACCGGGCCTTCAGCACAGGCATATGTTGTACCACCACCTGCGCTCCACAGTCAGTACTTGGACTCTTTCCCACTGCTCTGCTCCACCAGGCAAGGAGCAGTTCTCACCACAACACAGGCTCTACTTCAAAGGTTAAGTGGGACTCAAGCAAATTGCTTTATTTGAAGGCACTGCCAGCATCTCCCTGTTGAATCTGCAATGGCAGGCTGGGGGAATCCCACCTTCAGCAGACAGGGTAACTCACAGAGTAAGTCAAGGGTTACTCTAGGATTGCAAGGGTTATGACACCAACAAGAATCCACAACCTGCAAGTCCAGAAGACTGGCAGATGGTTCTGACATTTCCAGGGAGAATAAAGAGCAGAGCTTGAAGGCCCCATGACGAAGTGAACAAGAGTTACACTGGCTCCGGCCCACTGCTGAAGCTGCTCAAGTGCATCAGCATGTGCCTTGTGTGAGTGCAAACACTGAGCTCCTGTTCAGGTAGTGCACTGGCCCTCAGGGTGACCCTCTTCCAGCCCAGGTCCCAGACAAGAGAATCAGCAACAATTCAGAGTAAAATAAGCAGTTCTTACTATGAATTTCTATTCCCAGGGCCTGAGTTCCCTCCCTTCACGGGACCTTCCCTTTTTCTTTTGTGGAAGGTGTATGTACCTGTTTTCCTTCCCCTCCCTCCCAGACAGAGCAGGATGGTGGGGACGTGGGAGTTGGGGGATGGTGTTGGTGCTTACATGTCATAGATGTGGATGTTTGCTGGGATGGCGCTGATAAACCCAACCAGTTTCCGACTTGAGACCACTCGAACCCCACAGTGCCACTGGGGGAGCCAGCCAGGTGGCCGGAGAGCCCTAGAAGAGACAGGGGCTGCGGTGCTGCTTGCCAGCGGGCAGGGCAGGCTATTTGGGGTCCACAGCTGAGTTTGGTTCTAACTTTCTGCTACCACTTCCCTGGGGGTTAGCAACTAAATTCCCTTTAGGGCCAAGCCCTCTAGACACAAATGGAATTGAGTCATAGCTCCTTGCTGCTCAGCCCACTTGGCCTACTTACCCACCCAATCCAAGGCTGTCATACTGAGGTTTATATCCGATCCAATTTCTTTGTGCTCACTCACTCTGACAGTGTAAGCCACAGGACTGGCCTCCTTGGCTCCGAGTCCTGTGGATCCCATGGTTGGAGCCGATTATGGAGCCCCTGGAGCACCAGTCTGTACCTGCCCTCTGGGCTCCATTACTCCCCTCTTCCTATCTGCCTGTTCTTCCTTTTCCTCCCCCATCAGGCAGCCCCTCTACGTTTCAGCCTCATGCCTCTACCTTCCGGGATGTTAAATGCAGCCTAGGATAATGGATGGCTCAGCCAGGCAAGGCCATTTTCATACAACCGAGCATACGAACGAACTAGATAGAAAATGACCCTTTTTTATTTTTATTTTTTAAATCTTAGTAGCTTTCATTGCTCTTTCCCTTATATAAAGTCACCATACAATAGGTGATTTTCTTCTAAGTAATAATTCCACAAAGTTTCCCTCACCCAGTCATTCTGTCTTAAATAAGTTTTCGATGCTAAGCTCCACTGGAAGCAAGTCTCCTTCAGATGAAGAAACTCAGAAATTACACACTAACTTGCCATTCAAAGGCTGGCTCAGTGGGGAGACGAAAACTCTGATGCCCTGTGGTGGTTCTGCTCTCCGCCTTGGCCCAGAACCATAAAGCGGCCCTCACAACTCACCACAGAAGAAATTCCGGGGAGTAATCAAATCGGAACATGTTGTCATCATCTTCCACATAATTCTCATTCAGGAGGGTGTATAATTCCTTCAGCTGTACAGAAACAGGTGCTGCTTTAGAGGTATTCTGCCAGATGGGGACCAACTCCAACACCCTGGGGTTCCAAGCTTTTCTGAAGGACAAGGCAAACTACCAAAAACTATGTTTAATCTCACAAACCCTTTCCAGCCCAGGCACTGCAGGGACTCTTTTGGAATGAGCATCCCAGTTGTAACACAAAACTGAGCCACAAGGGGTACGGTGGCAGACTTAAGTACATAAAGTGGCAGACGACCAAGAATCATCCAACTAACCAACCACCCCCCGGTTAAGACACGGGAATGAATGAATGGACGAAGAAAAATCCACAGGCCTGGCCTGTGTGGCTCGGTTGGGCATCAGTCCAATACCCGGTCAGGGTACATGCCCAGTTTGAGGGTTCGATCTCCAATCAGGACATATATGGGAGGCAACTAATTGATGTTTCTCTTTCTCTCTTAAATCAATTAAAAAAGACAAACGAAAAAAGTGTATTGACCTTGAGGAGCTATAGAGATTAAGTCTCAACCTGCCAGAGAAGCCAAGTGCTATTTCTGTGGAGTCTTGGGCAAACCCCAGAGGCAACAGATGTGGGGGCTCTTCTCAGACCTGTTTGGCTCAGCTCTTAAGAGAGTCCTGAAGAAGGCTTGAGTAGAAGTTGTCTCCGTATGATGCAGGGCTCCCTGTGAAAGTGGCGCCCAATCCACACCTGTGGCCTGCCCAGGCCTACTCACCACACCACGGTCCCCCAGGTCCAAGGCATCCCAGGTGAAGCCCTGGGGCAGGGTGTAGGGTTCTTGGCGGATGTTGTCTTTGTCAGGCTCCACAGGACCATGGGTGTTTACCACTTCTCCTAGAAGAAGAGCACAGCCATGAGCCTTACCCTCTGCTTCCCAGGGGAGGGAAGGAGCTCAGTTCAAAAATCAACTAGAACAAATTCCTCCTGTCTCCAGGAGCCCCCCATCTGAAGAACACTCTGTGCTTGGCAACCACAGACCATCTCTCCAGCTATCCTTGGCCCCTAACTAAAGGCCAATTCATGGCAAAACTTCAGAACAATCACTGGGATCGAAGGTGGTTGGTTTTTGGAAATTCTTTTACATCTCCCTCTGGTTACTGAATGACAAACATTAATCTTGACTAATTTGGCTTCCTGCCTCCTGGTTGATGCAAAGAGTGCTGTCACGGCCCTGGCCCATCAACCTAGACGGATTTAGAAGGAGTTGCAACAAGACTGCTTTTGTGTCACCAGCAACAACAATGTACTGGGCTCATTCCTGAGCCAGATGATGGCATCTAGGCGCCAGGCTGGATCTTGGCCCTGCCAGCTTTAGCTTTTAGCAATGTGGGCCAGTTAACAGCTGCCACCAACTCGGTCCCTCAGTATTTCAGAGTCCTGCAAGCGCCTTTAGGCTGAATCACTGAATCCACACAATGCTGCTGGGAAGTTAGGCTCTGACATAACACCCCTACCCTGGACAGACATCACTCCTCTGTGGAGTGTGTGGGGAGTGCCTCGGGGTGCTCAGAAGATACAGCCCCGATTCCCACCCACAGCCAAATCAGACTCATTTGATAAATGTTGGACAAATCAACCACTTAATTTTGGCTGCTTGAGTTACTTAGTTTCTACAATTCAGAGTTTACTCACGTTCACACCTGGAAGAACACAATGTTTAGTACATTCTGAAAACTGTGTCTTAAAAAGGAACCCACTTGGTACATTGTTTGCTCCTAGTATAGGACACTGTATACTCTAGACACTCATTTCATGCTTTTACTGACTTTTGAACTCCTGGCCCAAATATATCATTCTAATGTGTAACGGGCAGCTCTCGACCCAACAACATATCTTGGGGCAGGTGAAGTAGAAATGGCAACCTGTGGCTATGAGCTGAGGACAACACTGTCAGCACTAACAGTCTAACTCTTTCACTCAACACATTTACTGAACACCAACGTGCGTCAGAGGCATCAGACATCGTGCACCAGGATACAGCCAGGAAAAGACAAGGCTCCCGTCTCTACAAAATGTACCATCTTCTGGGAAAAATATTCAAGAAATGAGACATTACCAACATGGTAAGGGTCATTAACTGGAAACTACAGGCAACGATGGGGATACAAAGCAGGGAAGCGGCTGGCTACCTATTTACAATTTGGCTCCCCAAGAGGTGTGCTTAGGAGAGAGCTGGTATTTTTCTTTCTTAGTTTAGAAACTGACCTTTTGATTTACTCATAGAGTAGCCCCTGTGAAGCAGTTTCCAATTCACTGCCCTGTAAACATTTTTGAGTATACAAAGCCAAGGGCCAGACCCCCGGAAAGTACTAAGATTTCTACTCTCATCTTATCTAGGTGCTAGTCTATTTTCCCTCTTAGACTGAACTTACACCTTTTCCAAAATACATTTAACTTCAGAATCTTTTTATTATTATTTTCCTAAATGATTTCCATGGACAAGATATCAGTGGTCCTCCCCATTGTACAGTCAGTTATGCACCACTTAATGGGATACGGCGTCCTGAGAAACGCATCACTAGGAGATTCTGTCACTGTGCAAGCATCATAGAGTGCAATTAGACAAACCTAGGTGGTCTAGCCTACTACACACCTAGGCTCTATGGTATAGCCTACTGCTCCTAGGCTACAAGCCAGTACAGCACATTACTGCACAAAACAACATGAGATTAAATCAAGCCCAAGAGAAAATGATGGAATCAAGAGACGTAAACATGAGATGTAGAAGGCTGCTGTCAGCATAACACAGCACACTGTTTTCAGCAAACAACTTTTTTTTGTAAGTAGAAAGAATATTCTCTAAAATAACAATAAACAATATAGTATAGTAAATACATAAATCATTTATTATCATTATCACATCATTACCAAGTATTACATACTATACACAATTACATGTGTTATACTTTTACACAACTGGCAGTGCAGGTTTGTTTACACCTGCATCACCACAGATGCATTATGCTACAATGTCACCAGGGGATAGAAAATTTTCAGTTCCATTATAGTCTTATGGGACCACCATTGTATATGTAGTCCATTGTTGATCGAAGTGTTATTATGCAGCACATGACTCTATTACAATAATCCCAAGGCCAAATCTTTTCAGTTAGGCTGGTTACTAGGTCCTGCATGCAACAAGCATTTCCATTCACTCCTTCACCACTTGTTCATGAAATCTCAGGATGTACCAGTTCTGTAGCAAGAGCTGGTAAACGAAGTGGACATAGGTGACTTTTAAAAAGTAAAATGAGCCCTAGCCCATTTGGCTCAGTGCTTAGTGCATCAGACCTTGTACTGAAGGGTCTCAATTCGATTCTGACCAAGGGCACTACCTCGGCTGCAGACTCGATCACTGGCCCTAGTTGGGGCACATGCGGGAGGCAACCAATTGATGTGTCCCTCTCACATTGATATCTCTCTCTCTCTGTCTTTCCTTTCCACTCTCTCTGAAAAGCAATGGAAAAAATATCCTTGGGTGAGGATTTAAAAAAAAGTAAAATGAGCCTTGTCCAGTGATGCCCAGGGTTAGAGCAGTGTCCTGCTACATCAAGGTTTCGCGTTCCATCCCCACTCAGGGCACATACAAAAATCAACCAATGAATGCAAGAATAAGTGGAACAACAAACCAATGTCTCTCTCTCTCTCCCTCCCTGCCCCACTCCTCCCTCCCTCCTTTCCTCTCTTAAAAATCAATGAATTTAAAACAGTTTTTTTCTTAAAAAAATAAAATGACATGATCTGAAAAAAGAGAGAAAAATTTTACTTGGGAGCACACAGAATTATTACATAGCCTAAAACATTTGCTGTTTAGAAGGCCTTTAAATGGGGAATTTAGGGTGACTTTAAACTTTTAAAGAATTCTAGGTCCCTCTAGTGGAATACAATCTATACCTCTCCCAACAAGGTAGGGAGTATGGAAAACACAGTTCATTTGATATGCCTGAATTTTACAATCATTAGCCCCATTTCAATGGAAAGTATAAAGGCAGCTAGCTAAAATCACACTACACTAAGGGTACTCAGAAGTAGAAGGAGAGTAGCACCTCATCCACGCAGACCAGCTGACCCCTGTAACACGTGGTACTTTCTATGGGCTGAGTCACAGAAACAAAGGGATCCTTTACTTGGAATTGACTGGCCATGGACCTAAAAGGCAGGCTGATCAGATGCTCAGAGTGACTGTTCTTCCACAAAGCCCCACACCATACACTGTCCAGAAGGCATGTCCAAAAATAGCACTGAGCATCACTGCACCTTCCTGAGTGTGTCAGGGCCCCTGTGAGCAACTATATGGCTTTCTCATGAACTTCCTGAAAACAAAAATGCAGCACTTTCTACAATTACAGATGGAGAAACTGAGGCAAAGAACAAAGAATAGCTGGACTGAAGAGGAACAGAAGCCCATTACCTAATTCACTTCATCCCCAGGTCCCACTGTCTATAAAAAAATGGAGCTAAGTTACCAATTTGCAAAGTCCTAATGAAAAATCAAATCAAACCCAAATCAAACCCAAACCCCAAACCACACTGATAACAGGCTAAGATATCTGGTGGTCACCACACAATGTCTCCATGAACTTCACTCAGAGGCAGAGTGTATGACTCTGCATTCTTCCTGCTCCCTGTAGGGGAAGTCACTGGAACTGGTTACCAGTAATGCCCTAGGAACATCATTACTATGACCCAAACCTTGCTAGAGGGCTTAGCCAGTGGGCTTGGTACCTGCATGACTGGGACAACCCAACAGACAAGGTGGATGGGTTGGGACAGGGTACTGGAATAGTGCCTGCTTGCCGTTTCATGGCTCATAACCATCCAGGCAGTGTTTTGCCTGTAGGGGTGTACCTCAACTTACTTCTGGATTGTGACTAAGCTACCCAAGAACTGTAATGCTCCAGAGCAGAGCTTCTGAAACTTTCAAAGTGGACACAAATCCCCTGCAAGTTCTGATTCTAAAGATCTGGAGCAGGGCCTGAGATCCTGCATTTTTACAAGCTCTTAAGCAATGTCCATCCTGCTGGTCTGAGAACCACACTTCGAGTAGCAAGGCTCTGTACTGCGTAGTCCCCACTGCTGGAGTAGATGAATCTCCTTGGGCACAGCTGCCCCTCACCAGTCTTTGGCCCTGTCCGGCCCTGTCTCCACCCTCTTCCTCCCCACCAAACATACTGTCAAGTCGCACTGTTTCTGGAGGGGAACAGTAACATGAACAACCTGAAGGTTACTCACATTTGGTGTTGGAACACTTTTTTCCCCCCAACACACTTACTTTCCAAATCACATAGAAAATAGGAGTTGGGCTATCAATGAGCCCAGAATCATGATGCATCCACTCCAGAAACTTTTTGTCAACAGCAACCCTCTGAAGCTAGCCATCAAGGTTAGCTGTGGCTTGGTCTCAGCAGGTATCTCTAACTGCTATGTCCAGCCTCTTATGGAATCCTTTTAGATTTTCTGCCTGTCCCACCCTTTAAGAGTTCATTATAGCTTTCTTAAGGGGTGCCAACCAAACCTGCATATGGTATTCCAGGTATTGAACCATTACTGTTAAGTAAAATGTCAAATTCCTTTGCATTTAGTAAGCATGCATTGGCAAGAGATAAGGGGAAGAGGCTGAAGACTTGGCCATTCCAGGATTAAACATTTGCCCAGATAAACAAGAGAGTCTCTCTATAAATATAATCTATGTAGGAAGATAGACTCACGGGCAGACATACCCACTCATCATGTGCCAATGCATTGTTTTTCTCTGTAGATTTGTACTGGATGATGATGGACTAAAAGAACCATTATTTGTTCTCAGTGTGTGCTACTGTGTAACGATAAGGTCCCTGAACAATAGCCCTTTCTATACTGCACTTTCAAGACTACCCTCTAAAAAAATAACCACCAAGGCACTCCAGGACGCTACTGTCCTCCCTCACAAATTCAGTGTGGAACCCTTAGCAGAGCTAAGGCATATCCCTTGCCCCCACCCTCGACTAGGGAGGAAAGCACATACATACCCAGTTTGGGGACGGGCTGTGTGTCCCAGAACTGGTAGCTTCTTTTGCTGGCCTCCTCCATTGTTTTGGCAGGTCCCTGGCCCACTGAAAACAGTTCAATCGCCTTCTGTATTTCCTGGATCCTCTCTGCTGGCAAAGGGTTCATCTAGATAAGACAAAGTCAGGGAGAGAAAAGGACCATTATGTTATTAAGCACTTGATTAATTACAGGTTCAACACTTAAGGGGTACAACTCAAAGAAGGGGTGTGATGTCCTAATCCCAGAGGTAACATATTGTACAACTGTAAAAAGTTTTTGACAATAAGCAATATGATTGGTGGGTGCTTCCTACAGGGTTTTTCCCCTTCTTGTGATGTTTGATGGCAGAATATTGCTCAGTGTAAAATTCCAACCAATGTAGACATGTAATACACATAGAAAGTAAAAACCCAACAATCTCATCCCTCAAATATAATCCTGTCATCAAGTCTTAATTGGGGAAGCAGAGTGAGAAGAGGCAAATATAATTTCAGACTTTTTTGCATTCAAGTTCTAAACAAATACACGATTTCAAAAATGGAAATCTGATCATAGAGTATTATTCTACAAACTGCTCTTCTTCACACACTATGTCTAAGAGACCTTTCCATGTGACCAAACAGAGTTGCCCATTCCAACTACTGTGCATGGGCCACAGTGTATTTAGCCAACACCCCACCAATGGGTATTTTTGTGGTTTTGTTCTTCCATGTTACAAACACGCTATAATGTACTTTCTCGTACATCTACTTTTGCTCATTTGGATATGTATTCCTGCAGGCTTGCTAAGTCAACAGATATGTACATTTGAAATTGTAATATATATTGTCAACCTGTGCTCTAAAAACAGATTAATAAACCAATGAATAGTGTTTTGAGAATGTATGTTTCTCCAGATTCTCATCATAAGATTTAACAAATCTTAATCTCTGCCTATCTGGGAGAAAAAAATACTGCTTTAATTTTAATTTCTTTCATTTAAGTTTAATCATCTTTTCATACACTGAACATTTATATTTTTTCTTTGTGAACTGCCAACTCAGTTCATTATTTTAAATGGACTGATTCATGTATCACAAATATTTTCCCAGTTTATTATCTTTTGACTTTTACAGAGAAGCTGTCAATTTTCTTAATGGCTTCTGGGTCTTATGTCAGGCTTATGATTATAAAAATATGCATAATTTTTTCTAACACTACTACTTTTTTTTCACTTAGATTGTGGAGGAAAGAAAGACTATAAACCAACATATTTACATTGCTTTGGGAGGTAGGACTGTCAACACAAGAAACATTTAAACCTATAGAAAATTTTTATGAGTTTATTTGAGCCAAACTGATAACAATTGCGGAGAAGCAAAATCTCAACGGAGAAAGTGCTCCAGAGAATGGGAGTTTTTGCACCTTATTTTATACAATACAATCAAAGGAGGACATGAAAGAGGTTACATGAAATCCACTGGTGATAGATTAGGGAGGCAGGAGAAAGCAAAAGGGGGGATGATCTCTGGGACTGGATAAAAAGTAAACCTAATAGACACATACTTCTTTTACATTTGTGGTAAAGGATAGCAGTTAACAATGAACACAATAACAACAACAAGGGATTTTGTGGTCTCTGCTCTGGTGCAGTGGGGATTACCAAAGGTGTGTTACCTTAGATGCAAAAAGACGATAAGACAGGTTCAGTTAAGGTAAAGATTTCTCAGAAAGATACTACCTAGGACATGACTACCTGCCATGGCTTGCTTTTAGTTAGAAAGGGTTTTTTTCTGGGTTTTTTGTTGTTGTTTTGTTTTTTAATTATGTCTTTATTGATTTCAGAGAGAGGAAGGGAGAGGGAGAGAGACAGAAACATCAATGATGAGAGTCATTGATCGGCTGTCTCCTGCACGCCCCCTGCAGAGGATCGAGCCTGCAGCCTGGGCATGTGCCCTGACTGGGAATCGAGCCACAATCTCCTGGATCATAGGTCAATGCTCAACCGCTGAGCCACACCAGCGAGGCTGGTTAGAAAGTTTTAATTTCAGACCATCCTATGAGGTTACTTTTTAGGTCTCTAAGCTTTTAAGGCCCACCATGCAGGCCTCCCCTTAATTTGCCAGGTTTACTATGTGGCCCCTTTTTCGTCCACAGAATTATAAGTGATTTTAGTTTTCTTCCTCTTGCTATGTTTTCCCCCCTAAATTCTCTACAATGAACTGCAGCACTCTTGTAAAGAGGAAAATGGAAAAGCTATGTAAATGGTGTTTTGTTAAAATTTTCTAATTTCAAAGGGAACCATTTTGATATAGGCTCAAAGTTAAATCCCCCTGGAGTCACTCAAATACCCATCACTAGACGAACAAAAAAACAAACAAAAATCCTTAAAGCCAAAGAGCATGGGCTTGGACTAGAATTCCTGACTGAAAAAACCTGGGCAAGCCACCTCTCTCATCTTTAAAATGGGAAGATCCCCACCTACCTTGTAAGGATGTTGAAGTGCCTGATAAGAACTTAGTCAACACTGTGGTCAATAATGGTGGGGTTCTTTTTCCATAAGGGGTTTGATATTGAAAATAGTAAAAAATTACTTGAAGCCATATCTCAATAAGACAGAAGACTGAAGTTGGAGCATACCATTTGAGGCATAAAGCAAAGTGTAAGTAGACTAGAATGAGACCAAATTTCTTGTGAAGCTTATAAACTGTTTGAGAGGCTAGTCTAAAAGAGAATTACAGACATGTTTTGAACTTCCCCCAGGGCCTACCTTAAAGAGGAGAGTACTAGCCCTGAGGTGTGGCTCAGCTGGTTGGGTGTGGCTCAGTTGGTTGAGCATAGGCCTGTGAAAGGTTGCCGGTTCAATTCCCAGTCAGGGCACATGCCCAGGTTGCAGGTTCAATCCCCAGTTGGGACGCGTATGGGAGGCAACAGATTGATGTTATGCTCTCATATCGATGCTTCTCTCTCCCCCTCTCCCTTCCTCTCTCTCTAAAAAGAACCAATAAAAAAAAACACATTTAAAGAGGATAGGACTAACCTGAAATAAAAGGTTTTCTTTTTGAAATGTTGTTTTATTTACACAAAACATTCCTTACCTATACGTCTGGGTCCAGTCTTAGGTCATAAACTCTAGGCCAATGGTTCTCAGCTAGTGGAACTTGGAAACTGACTGTGGGACTCATGATTTTCATTATAATGACTATGGCATTAAGAGAATGCTTGCAATATATAAAGGTCTGCCTTAAAAGAATAGGTCTTGTATTCCCACAATGGTGGGGACTTAAGATGGAAAAGGCTGAGAACCACTGCTCTAAGGTAACAGGAGCTGGAACAATGTAATTACTCTCCGTCTGGCACCTTGCAAAGCACCACATGCAGTTATGTACCTGTGCATTCTCAGAAGGCACCATGCTTGGGAGTCAATGACTAAACTGCTGTGTCTTAAGGTATGAGAGCAGATTCATCACCTAGATCTAGGGCAGAAGAGGGCAGCAGAAGGATCCATATCCTCCATCTTGAAGTAATACCAGTAGACAATGTCAATCTAAATCATTCCGATACATTTACCCCAAAATGCTCGTCTGAAAAATCGACTCTCAGTCGCAAGAAAACAGAGCCTCCTTGTTACCTTCATAGGCTGATCCTGGGCCGAATCTGTCTCGCTGCCTTTCTCTTTCTTCTTTTTTTGTTTCTTTTTCTTCTTTTTGGCTCCAGTGTCATTGGCTGGACTCAAACCACTGTAAGACAAGTAAATACCGATGCAGGGTTTTTTAAAAATCATCCGTTTTGGGCTACACTGACAAAGAGCTTTCTGTGGAGTCAGACTTCCCTTAATCAAGCCTGTTGGCTTCAGAAGCAGACTAGAGAATCCAGGTTCCCAGAAGGGGCATTTGGAGGACACCAGAAAACACAGCTCTCCTCCCATGCCCATCAGCTCCCAGGGACGGAGCGCTATACAAGGAATGTCCTATTTGTTTGAAAGGACTGTTTGTATTCTCGCTTTTATTTTATATATTTATTTTCTTTAGATTGTCAGGTTGCTGGCACCAAAGGCAAATGATAATTGTTAACAGGGCTTTCATACCACCAACACATCCTTAGAGCCCTAAATTTAAAAGGATGACAGCCAGCCCGGCCGGGCGTGGCTCAGCAGTTGAGCGTTGACCTAGTATCCAGGCAATCGGGGTTCGATTCCCAGTCAGGGCACATGCCCGGGTTGTGGGCTCTATTTCCAGTGAGGGGTGTACAAAAAGCAGCCGATCAATGACTCTCTCATCATTGATGTTTCTATCTCTCTCCCTCTCCTTTCTTCTCTCTGAAATCAATAAAGATATATTTTATAAATAAATAAATAAATAAATACATGACAGCCAAAAGCAGTCTTTGTGGAAACCCTTCCTCATCCCCATTCCCACCCTCTCCAATGCCTTAGGTTTAATGAGTTTCCCCAGCTGGATCTAAAGCACAAGGCAGTATTGGAAAGGGAGGAAGCGACAGGGAAAAAGGTAATTCAACATTGCTGTCCTCTGTGTCCAAAATAGTCAAATAATCACAAAAAATGCCTAAATCAGGCCTGCAAGATTGAAAACAACTGTCAGCTGGTTAAGAGTGGGTGATCACCACAGGCAAAATCCAGTACTAGGAATCTTGGGAAAAGTGAAGCACACAGCCATTCCTGCCACAGAGATTACATGAAATGTGCGTGAGTATAAACGCGGTAATGGGTACTTCTTCATGCCATTTTCCTTCTTTGTGATACACCCAATGAATACAGCAAAAACAGTTTCTTAGCCATATTTAGGTTTCCTACCATCTTTTATCATTTTCTGTATTGTCTCCCAATATCTTTAGTGAGACACAAATCATATATTATACTGTTTTTTTGACAGTTTCAATTCATTTGCTCTGAAATGTTTCTCCCAATTCTTGATTTTAGGAAGTAGTTTTGACTCTGGGTTTTCTTCATTATATTGATGAATTTTAAGGTTCACCTTGCAGCTTGCTTTTCTAATTACTGCTATTATTGGTTTCTGCCATGTCTAAACTGATGTTGGCACTGCCAGCCTGGGAGTAATGCCTGGTATCACATTGCCATCCTCCTTGGAATTCTTCCATCAAAAAGTCAAAATTAATCATCTACTAGTTTCTTATGCTGTGGGGTCCAACCTCTTATCTGGGTTCCCCCTTGCATTTTCAGGCCCCAAACCTGCTTTCATCTCTTGGGTGGAAGGAGAGGTAGAACAGGGAGGCTCAGGATCCAGGGATGGGAGTGAGAAAGAAGGGCTGAAGAAGAGTCCGAAATGAAAAGAGATGGAACATGGGAGCCTTTCTCAAGGAGTGGCTGCCATCCAGCATACCACCTGGGCCCCGTCACAAAGCTGCCTGCCCAGAGCTCTACTGGAACTCTAGGTGAAGCTCTACTAAGCCTTGGCTCAAGAACATTCCCACCCGCAGACCACCCTACTCTTGCCCAGACTGTGGCTGCGACTTCAGCTATTCCTTCCTCCTGGTCAGCCACAGAGGGGCCCAGTCTGGGGGGCAGCCCTTACCCTATGACCAGGCACCCTCCTACCTATTATATTAATGAGACATAGAAGGCACAACTTGGAAGAAAGATTGGTAACATTCAGAGGGGCAATAAGGTGAACTCCTTAAAACCAGGTGCTCAGCAAAATCCCCAAGGCCGTGGCAAACAACAGGAACCATAAAGTCATTTATACCCTGAAGATAATTTTTTTCTTTTAATAACTCAATTTTGTTATCACACAGAGGTCCATTTGCAGCCTATGACAACTCTATGTGGTTTTCTTATTTCAGAGATATTCTCACTTCAGTCTCAGGATTATATGTAGCATGAGAAGGTTTAAAATCTGGTTGATGTTAGGAAACAAACCCACATTCCACTGTTGATACAATTTATAAATCCTCATTCATCTCAGTTTATGGAATGAATTCTCTGGTCCCTGTATATGAATTATGGTAAGAATATTTTTTTTTATAATTCTGTGGAAAAAAGAATCAAAAAGGTCAAGGTGAATGTTATATATTAACCAAATGGATACTTACTAAACAATTTCACATAAGAGAAAAAATTACTTCCTTCAACTTTATACATCTTCATAAGTGTGCAAAAATCACTAAAAAACTACCTTTCTGCCTTCACCCTTGCTATTCAGTGGAGACCTTCTATGAAGCCATCTCCTCAACAACCCCATTTTTGTGGAAGGATCTTGGGCTGAATGCTTGTTCTGTTTTATGCATATTAATACAAGTGCCTGACAAACTCCAAGACCCAAGCTAAAACCACTTCCTTGTATTGGCTTGACTTTTCACATGCAGCTACTGAGCAACAATCTTGTTTCAACTTGTAAATCAAGCCTACAGAGACAGCTGAAGAACCAAGGGAAGTTTTTTTTAAAAAAAGTCATTTTTACTGAGCTACCAGGTATTGAGCCATACCCATGAGAACACATTATGAGCTCACCATGGTCTTACAGTCAACACCCCAAACCCCAAAAAGACTCAGAGAAGAGACTTCCAAGTAGCCTACTAGGGTTAGCTTTTAAGGTGATTATAATTATTCACAAGAAATCAAGCTCAGAGACACTGAGAGTAGGTCTTCAAGAAGCATTAGGAAGCCCAGCCAGGTATGGCTCAGTGGTTAAGCACTGACCTAGGATCCTGGGGATCGCAGTTCAATTCCCGGTCTGGCACATGCCCGGGTTGCAGGCTTGATCCCCAGCTGGGGGCGTTCAGGAGGCAGCCAATCAATGACGGCTCTCTCATGATTGATGTTTCTATCTCTCTCCCCCTCTCCCTTTCTCTCCTGGAAATCAATAAAGATATATTTTTTTAAAAAGGCATTAGGAAGCCAATATCATTTCATAGAAGAATGGCCTCAATTTGGATTTGGGGAGAACGAAATCAGGGGATCCCACCGAAGTCAGGCTATCCTTTCTTAAAAAATTCGGCATCATTTTTAAAGGGACCTGAAGTCCATACCCACTGGGTAGGTATCCCAGGGCATTCTGGGATTCTGCAAATTGACACAGAAATCGCTCAGAGTTCCCTGAGCCTGCTAGTCACCTTAACATACTCAAGAGCAACCAAAATCTTGGAATAAGCCAAATCAAAATCAAACTTCGGTTCATTTGGTTCCAAAATAATGAGCGGAGAACTAGTGAAATACACCCTCTTTTTTGGGGTGGTCAGGAGAGTGATGTGTGCCTACAATGGAAAGGGAGGAGGGAGTTCACATAAAAATTTTGAAATTTACATTCTAAAGTAAAGTTGACCAACCCAAGTCATTAATGAACAACCTAGTGAACATGGGATGAATCAGCAGAATGACAGAACCAGAGGCCAAAATATTCTAAGTTCAAGCATATAAGAAACTCTATGGATGCTCTGGTAGAAAGTTAGGGCTGGGGGAGGAGATGGAAAATGAACCTCAGTACTTATTTCTAGAAAGAGAAATAAGGGTTTGTGAGTGGGTGGGAAGGAAGGGCAAGCTGACAGATGCCCAACAGGAGCAGGGAACTTTCAGACGACATGAGCAGTGAGGATCGTAACGTGGGCCTCCTCTCAATCCCACTGAATGACTAAATCCACTCAAAGGTGCATGGCTAAAGAACAGAAGCTGTTATTTGGAAGCTAAACCACCAGAGCTGGAAGGAATCTCAGGACCATCTGGCTTAACCTGTTGTTTACAGAAGAGGAAACCAAGACCCAAGATGTGAGGCAAATTGGTCATCAACTAACCAACTAGTACTCACGGAAAAACCACCAATCTCTAAAGATTTGGCCCATTCCTCCCTCAACACTACAGCCTCATCCCCTGTGAGAATTTGCCTGAGCATCTTGAAAGCCAAAAGAGCACTGTTTCATCACACAGGACCCTAAAACAAATATTGTGTATCAGAGGAGCAGGTATTAAAGGCAATGAGGAGAGTGAGCCATGTTTTATACAGAAGCTTCCCTCCTCTGCCTATTCTAGCTCTCCTTGATGCCTGACTTGTTTAAGATTATGATCTCCCAATTTAACACTTTATATATAACAATGCACTGCTTCCTGGCTTCCCAATGAAATTACAAATTTCCTAAGTGTAGGGACCACATCTTATGCGGCTGTTTCTCACAGCACTTCTGGTTGTGCTGAGCACACAGCTAAGAGTTCAACAAATAAGTGCCTGAATGATGCTTTCCAGGCATAGCAGACAAAAATAAAACTCTGAAAAGCTAGAGCTTAAAAAAGGGTCAGAAAACATCTGTAGTAATGTTTCCACAGGACAGCTGAGTTAATATTCTATGAAAGCAGTGGACATGCTGTACTTGTTAGAGCTACTGGTTAAGATTTTAAATTATCAACTTTCTTATTTGTTGTCTTCTCCCTCCTTAGGCCCTATACTATTCCTGTAAGAATTAAAACAAAAAAGCTCCACTCTTAACTACATCAAATGGTTCCAATGTCTTAAACACAGACCACAGGTTTAGCTTTGATTATGAGATCAACAGAAAAAAATGAGTTCAGAAAATAAAACTCACAATTTTCAGTCACTTCTTTTCTACCTCTAAAAACTGGAAATTAATTCTTTGGGCTAAAATTCAAAATTTCCAGAGAAACTTACTAAATAAATCCTAGCCTCTAATATCCTTTTGATTCCACTTTTAGACATCAGGAAATCCTTCTGCAGATCTATTTACTCATGAGGTATGATACATCCACCAGCAATCCTATTAGTTACTCAGCAGGCCCAAAGAGAGGTGAACAAAGTGGCATTTACAAGGGTGCCCAGGTAGTAACCACATGGTATGAATCAGTATCAGTTGCCTATCCTCCCCACTGCTGTGACTGCAGGAACACTTAATGCAAACTCTGCAAATTTCCTCCCATCAGTTATTTATATAAAAACCTGCTTGTGAATTCTACATGACAGGAAAAACAAACACTTTAGTACAGCAATCAAGGTACCCTAGGAAGCCTGTGAAAAACAGCAGGCTGTGGGAAGGGATTACAAAAGATTGCTTTTACTGCCACCCTCTGCCCTCCGTGGGATAATTAGTCAGAGTTTTGAGGGTGAACAAGCCAATTCCTGTCATGGAGGAAAACCGTTTTTTGTTGTTTTTAAGGGTCACAAAAGCTCTGATATACTCAATAGATTAAAATGAGAATGAGACAGAAATGTAAATTCTACATCCTCTGGGTTGGTTTGGTGAGGCAGACTGTAACCTGGCAACTCCAAGGTCAAATCAAATGCTATTCAGAGACCATTTTCAGGAATTTTCTGAGCAATGACTCAATGCTGGCAGCAATTTCACACACTAGAATGACTGAAAAAGACAATGGTCCATAAAGGAGAGTTTAAAGGGGCCAGCCACTTTCATCACCAACTGGCTTCCTAGATAGGGTAAATCCGTGGGTTACTAAGTGGATACAAAGACAGGACTCATGCTCTCACAGAATCAGGATGTAGAAATCAATGCAGTAGGGAAAAGAAATCTGTAAGTTCAGAATGGGTCCTTCCAGGTGTCAAAGGGAGAGGTGATGCAAATCCCAAGCCTCATTACAAAAGCTAAACCAGTTATAAGTGAAGTGTAGCTGAGATAATCCATGCAAAGGGCTTAGCACAGTGTCCAAGTGCCCAGCACATAGTAATAATAGCAGAGAGGTAACATTTATTGTACACTTAACAGTGCATCATCCTCAGCTGCCTCTCAAAGTCGGCAGCAGTAGAGAAAATTTTGAAGGACTAACCCTGTTGAAAAATTTTAGTATCTGTATGTGTATGTGTGTGCTCTCAATAGAAAACACCATGTTTTGTGTGCCCTAAATGCAACAATCACAAAAGCGCCTTCCTTGAGGAATTAGAAGAGAGGGTAGCAGGGTAGAGATTTCAAATAAACAGTTAAAGAGGAAAAACTAAAGAAGTATCCTCCTAAAGTTACTAAATCTATGGTCCCAAAATCTCTGGACTTCACAGGGAAAGGGTTAACTTAGTAAAGCTGGGAAATTTTGGAGTGAGCACATTAAACAATGTGAAAAATCAGCAAAACTTGTTTGCCATGAGCAGCAATCTCCCTGAAATAGGCTCTCATTTATTTTTCATTTCTTCTGCTTTCCAGTCTCTTCTCTTTGAAGCAGCTCTTGATTAGTTTCTTTTTAATTGCCACTTAATTGGGAAATAAAATTAGAAAACTTATTTGATATCAGTGATGAGGTTTCTTTTTTCATTTCTGCTTTGATCTAGTTTTGAAATACCAAAAGCTGAAGGCAGAGATTAAGAAAAAGAAACAAAAAAGATTCCTTCTTTCCAAGAGCTAGATGCAGCTATGAGCCATCAAGCAAATATGGAAAGAACCATTCTTGGAGAATCTGAACCATTAACAAAAAAAAGCAACTAAGGATAGCTTATGGAATTCCTTTAAAAAAAACCTGTTCTTTTCTGTTAAGTTTCTTCATATGAGATAACAAGAAATAATTAGAAACTGAGGAAAACTTTTAAGAACTCATCTTAACCTGTCCCCATGGAGTAAAAGAACAGGAGAGAAAAGAAATATCCCTTATCAAAGGGTTCTTGATCCATGGCTTACCAGCATCTCAATGGTATCAATGACATAGCAAAATAAATTCCAGTCCTGGCCAGTGTTGCTCAGAGCACCGGCCTGTGCACCAAAGGGTCACAGGTTCGATTCCCAGTCAAGGGCTCGAAACCTGGGTTGCGGGCTCAGTCACCAGACCTGGTTGGGGGAAACGTGGGAGGCAGCCAATCCATGTGTCTCTCTCACATCAATGTTTCTCTCTCTCTCTCTCTCTCTCCCCCCTCCCTCCCACTTTCTATTAAAAAAAAAAAAAATCAATGGAAAAAATATCCTTTGGTAAGGATTAATGGCGGGGGGAGAGGGGGCGATTTCCAAAGCTTTTTCCTGTTCCAAAACACTCAGATAAACTTTACCTATTTGGTACTTCAAAATTAAAATCTGCCAGCTGATAAAGTTTATTTTTTAGTGATACTTCTTGGAAAGCCTTTCATGAAAAACAAACACGCAAATTAAAGCATATATGTAGATGAATCATAAACTGCAGGGGGATGTGGTATAAAGATGATCTTAGTCTGACTCTTCCTCTCAATTGCTCAGGGTAACTAACTTATGTCAGGCAAGTAATCGGGATAAAAATGCTGCCTTCCTTTCCTCTACTGAGTGAATTTTTAAAAAAATAGCTGACAGAAAAACTACAGATACATCTATACATCTACACAAACACATACACACACATACTATATATGTATGCATGTGCACATATATGTTCATACGTACACATGAAATTTAGACTCAGCAAATGTTTAATTAGGGAAGAAACACATGACAAAAAAAGTCAGGAACTAAACTTATACACAAGGAACATAAGAAACTAGCACAACTGCATTTCCTATTATACCAGCCCATGAATGTAGCTCATTTCATTAGTGTAAAGCACTGTGAGCCCATCCTGAAAGAAAGACCTAAGAGAATAGGGTTAGTTTGAACTATTATTAACCAATTGCATACTTCAGAATCATTAGCATCACAGGGAGATATTCATTCCCCTTCAACTCTTATGTTACTTTTGAAAACACTTTAAATAATATAAGTAAAGACAAGAAAAATTTCAAGATGCCAAAAAGCAGTGGAAAACTTCCACAGTAAATTGGAGAATCCTTGATTTCTGTAGGTATTTCACAAAATCTGTAGTAAGGTTTACAATGAGACTTAATCGAGGAATGAAAGTGTGTATGTAAGAAAAATCTGACACCCTTCTCCTCAGTGAGGAGAAATGAAACTCCACTAACACTGGGCTAAGAACTTTAACATCTGCGATTCATTCATCCAGCAAATACTAATTAAAGACACACTAAGGGCCAGGCATCTCAAAGACATGAACCTGTTCTCAGGCACCTTACAGTCAGGTGAGGCAGGAACTGGACACATACGTTATTTAACTAGTGTTATGATAAAAGCTACAAAAAATACAGTACGTGAGCCCTGGCAGTGTGGCTCCGTGGTCAGAGTGCCGCCCTGAGCACCGAAGGGCGGCAGGTTCCATTCCTGGTCAAGGGCACATGCTTGGGTTGCAAGTTCAATCCCCAGCTCTGGTTGGGACGCATGTGGGAGGCAACAACACCACCACCACCAAAAACAAAGAAACACCTTCAAAGTTTTTTAAGGTTACCACTTTGTTATACTTTAATAAACCAGAGCAGTTTTGCAAAAGATTCACAGATTATAGGGAACAAAACCCATTAAAGAGCTATAGACACTGGTCAGAGCAATCATCAGCAGAAATTGTACTTTCACTTCTGAAATGACTTTCTAACTTAACAACTCTCATCTATGAGCAGAATCTCTATTCAGAAGGACTGCACTTTCCCTTCTTCCTGTTCCTCCTATTTCCTCTTTCTCAGCTCTTCCATTCTTAGGAACCTCCAACTTCAAAACAAGGCTTTTATTACATTAGATCTGTTGTGGGTTATAGCAAAAGAACATAGTCTTATAAAACCAAATTTGACAAACTTCCGTATCCTCTACCTTCTTGTAATTTTTAATGCCAATTGAAGAATATAAAAGGTCTTTTAACCTAAGGGTTCATCAGAGGTAGATTATAAACCACTTTAATAATCCTATGTTTTCTCATCTCTACAAGATTGCAGAATTTTTTTTAAAGTTTATCCAAAGACCTCAACCTTCTACCTTTACCTCCAGGAATACCATCAATACTGCAAATGACAAAATGGCTACGAAAATCAGACCAGACTCTGCCAAAGTTATACGTCCAAAACAGTCTCTCATGACTTTCCGTTAAAAATACATATATGTAAATATAGATGGGGAGAGTGAGCATCAGTGCTAGCCACTGTAACAACGTGGAGAGAGAGGAATAACAGGGTGTGGCTTACGGGAGTGAAAACTGATTTGGAACTAGAACTCAGAGCTCAAACGCCTGATACATTTCTTCTGCAGGAGGAACAAATAGTTAACAGCAGGCAAGACCCTAAAGTACAGGAGATGCAGTATTAAACCCACTCCCAAACACTGTTCAAGAAGCATCACCCGTCACTCAATTTCCTGAAGCTTGAGGCTACTTCCCAAAGTTAAAAGAGCCAATATGCTAGCAGATCTAATTATATACTGTTCAGGAAACTTATGGATTATTTGGAGCAACAGACACCTATACATCAAAGCACTATTATACAGTAATTGCGTAGGGTTTATAAGGTGAGTTTATATTTTGAGATTCTCTGGTAGTGACATTTTACAACATAATTATGGTTTGTATAGCCTGGTTAATTTCCTCATTGAAGATGAAGTGCAGCGAAATGTTGTATTATTTATTGCTGATCACGTTGTTCACACATCACATCTATAAGTAACATTCCCTTTGAACTGTACTGTTATGTTGACCTGTGTTGTGCCATCGAAAACCACCATCCTACTGGTTCGTTTCCCAGGACGCGCCTGAAGCACACACAGAAGAACTTTTATATAATAAAAGTATTGAATGTCTTCGGCTCTTAATACACTGAGCGCCCACCCTAGTAAATGACAAAGAAAGCAACCAATCGCCAAGGAGAATCTCAATGTCTCAGCCAATAAGAATATGGGGGGTGGGGTTACTCTAAGCTCCCGGTGACTTCCCCGCACCCCAGAGACCCAGGTGGTGGGAGACTGGACAGGAATTGGACTCCGAGGATCTCGTTACCCTCGGTTGTAGCTGTTGTCCTCCTCGTTCTCGCAATCGCTGCAGTGCTCATGGCCGTTTCCGTTCCCTTCCATCATCTGCGGCCGCGTAGGGGCCGGCGGCTTCACTGCTGTCTCACTCTCGTCCGCCATCTTGAGTTCCGAGAGCCGGCCTCCGCGCCTCACTACATAGGGGGTTCCTATTGGACAAGGGAAACTGGCGCTGTATTCTGGGTTTTGTAGTTTTTGTAGGGAAGTGGGCCGTAACTGGGCGCGGCTCTTTCCAGGGGAAACAGGAACAAGGTGGACTACAATACCCAGAAATTATGAGGGGAGGCCGTGCTAACGTCGGGGCCAGCACTACTCGGAACCACTGGGCGTTAGGCCGCGCATTGAGGACCGACGCTCCGCGACCCGGAGATCATGTGGCATGCTGGGAATTGTAGTTCGGTGTAAGTTTAGAGTTTCGGGCGTGGAGGCTCCGAAATACAAGGTTTGACCTCATCCTGCCCCTTCTAGTGCCAGAGCCATAAATGAGCCGTTATTGACTGCCGTTAAGGACCGTTACCATTCTCGAGTAAGTAAGGGGGCCTGAGGCCCGCGGGTATGACCCACCGGGAGCCCGAAAGCATCAGGCTTTCTTAGAGGGGCTTTCCAGCAAGAAACTAGGTTGGCTCCTGGCCGCCTTCCTTACTCGGGACTCTGGGCGGCGTCTGGTGTTTGGTAGGTAAAGGCCTCATGAGAGGCGGTGGATTCTGGTATGCGGAGCAATGATTCTGAGCCAGGAGACTTGACTGGCTGGTCAAACCTTGCGCTCCAGGACCTGCAAGTACCGGTCTCCACGAAGTTCTTCCACAAAGAGTGCCCCTTTGTTTTGTTTTATTTTTTCCATCACCATTTATCCCCTCTATGCCCTGTTCTACCTCCACCCCTCAGTGTCCCTTTCATTCTCCGCAGCAACGCTCCACAATTACTCTTTATTGAGCCCTTATATATCAGGCTCTGTGATCAAGATTTTGAAACTTCTCCTTTAACCCACTTAACAAGCCTAGAATGTGTGCTCTATTCCCTTTTTTTTTCACAGAGGAAGAAATGTGAACCAGATTGTTTGGCAAATTGCAGTCACATAGCTAATAAGTGACAAAGTCAGTATATAAATCTTAATCTGTCTGCCATTAGGCCCTCTTAATGCTTTACCACTACAAAAGTCCCATTGTCTGATAAGTCTACTCAAGGAAATCAGTTATTAGAAGGTAATTGCAGCCTTGACTGGATGCTTCAGTCCCTTGGGTCTCACCTCTGTGATTGAGTAATCATACCTGAGTTTTGTTTTGTTTTTTAGAAACTTTATTCCAATGAATAGTTTGCAAACCAGGGAAATGCGGCGTCTGGTGGAAATCAAAAGTGTGTTCTGATACACCTAAGTTTTGAGGAGAGAGCCCGAGGACATGGTTCCCATTCTAAGAGATCTCCCATTCAGGTTGGGTTGTGGGTAGCAAGGGAAGGACAACTTCTTAACAGAGGAGAGCTCCTTGGCCAAAAAGGGAAGTGATCTTTGCCTTTGGGAAACTCAGCATGGGAAGAAACAGTTCTCATCTGACTCAGGGAAACAAATAAAAGAGCTAAAGATTGCCAACTCTTAGATTTTATATCAGTGGCAAGTGCAGAAGTAAATATGACCCAAATCAGATAATCTCAAGTCATTTATATTTGACTTCAAAAGGCAGTCAAAGACACCTGCTCAGGTTGAGAGCTGTCACCCACACATCTCTGCAGGGCCAAGACTGCTGTCAACCTTACATGCAGCTTCAGGCGAGTGGAGGTCAGAGAAAGCAATAGTAAAGCTTTACATGTGTTAGTTTCACCTATTGTAGCTATGTGACCTTGTGAAGTAGATAGGGAAGGGTAATGGAAGAAAATTGTGCTTGCAAAAAAAAATTAATAATCACAATGCCACCTAGTTGCAGAAGCAGAATCCACATCTGGTATTCTTTTTATTTTATTGATTTCAGAGAGAGGAAGGGAGAGGGAGAGAGAGATAGAAATATCAATGATGAGTTTGATGTTTCTGCAAGATGAACCCATCTTGGTATAATCAAATGTCAGATAAGATCACCAGCTGTTGGGTCACTGATTGGCTCCCTCCTGCACACTTCCTGTTGGGGATTGAGCCCGAAACCCATGCATATGCCCAGACCGGGAATCGAACCGCAATCTCCCGGATCATAGACTGATACTCAGTGGAGAGCCTTTTCTGGGAAGTAAACAGGCAGTTTGAACATAACCCAGCTCAGAATGCAAATCCAAATCCAAAGTTCTGGAATTCAGTACCTCTGAGAATTTCAGAATTAGAAGGGACCTGAGAGAGGCTCTTATTCCCTCTCTCTTAGGATTTTTCAAGTTAGAATCCTCACTTAGGTTTTGTAGAATCCATGATTTCTGTATAATAAAATTTAAATTTCATGTTTCGAAAAAAATTGAGTATATGTGACATTTTTTAAAAAACAACCACTGGGTAACTGAATATTACCATATGCGATATTGGTGTCTAACTTTACTTTTGAGTTGACAGTCACAGTGCAAGGTAGAGTTTCCTAAATTGGGTCTACATATTAATGCTTTCCTGGGGTTCCAAGAGTTCTCCTATTTGTTCCTCCCCACTCCCTCATGAGACAGCCTTCCTCTTTCAGACAGCTCTCATTGGTAGAAAGTTGGCCAAGTTTTGCCTTATGAGGTTATGTAGAACCGTATAATCCTGTGTCCTCGGTAGTTGTTACATATTCTACAATTAATAGCTGGTCCCCTAAAATTCTTATTTTTTTCAAGGTAAACATTCCTGGCTTTCTGAGCACCTCATCGCACTAAATAGCAGGACTCTCCCATCTAGCTCTACTGGCTCTTCCTACCCACCCGTTGTAGCAGGAGCATTATAGGAAGGAAGTGGGGTACAGCAGGGCCCTGAGGGTGACTGAGGGCTGTGCCTGTGAAGTTATGCAGATTCTGGAAATTGCTCCTCATGTAGATACCTCCATTATCCATTCATGGTTGTTACTGGGGATAGTAGCATATAGTTGTTAAGAGAACAGGCTTCAGAGTTGGGCTCCCTGGGTTCTTTTTTTTAAAAATTCATTTTAGATAGATAGATAGACATCGATTTGTTGTTCTACTATATTTATGCATTCATTGGTTGATTCTTGTATGTGCCCTGACCAGGGATCAAACCTTTAATCTTGGCGTATTGGGACAACACATTAACCAACTGAGCTATCGAGCCAGGGCCTTTCTGGGTTCTAAATCCTGGCTCTGCCTTTGTCTAATCAGTGACCTTAGGCAAGTCATTTTACCTCTCTGAGCCTGAATATCCTCATCAGTAAAACAAGACAGTATTACACAAAACACTTAGTAAAGTGTCTGGGGCAGTCAATACCTAATAAAGTATTTCCCTTCCCAGGAAGTCAGCATTACTACTGTGATAATCAAAGAAAAACTTTCTTATAATGTCTATCACAGATCAAGGCCCTTGCTGTACTCCCAGCATATCAGATGTCCTTTCTTCTAATGGGCCTAGGAAGACATGAGCCAGGTTGTGGTTCATATATTCAACACCTTGGAGTACTCATGACATGTCAGGCTCTATGGCAGGAACCAGAGAATCAGGGATAGAATAACATAGTCCCTGGCCTGGGTTCATTCCATGAGTTGGTCAGTACACAGTCTGACAGTTACAGAAGAGTATATAAAGAGAGCGGGGAACACAGGATGTAGCAGGAGCCTAGAAGAGGGACTGTTAACCTGGGGAAAGGGGTCCTGGAGGAAAAGACAGCTAAGCTGAGTTTTCATAGGGGAAGCAGACAAATGGGTGGATATTCTAGGCTGAAGGTATGAAAGTCCAGCTGCTTGAGAGTGTGGTGCTTTTGAGATACTACAACAAGAATGATGTGACTGGAGTTTAGAGTGTGATGGTCATTTTGGAAGTCAAGCCTGGAGAGCTAGTCAGGAGTCAGACCATGAAGGGATGTGGATGCCATGCTAAGGAGTTTGGCCTTTGTCCTAAAGACTCAGGAGCCGATGAAGATGGTTAGCTGGGAAGAGATCATCAAATTTTGTTGGAGAAAGATGGTATTCTAGGGAGCTGACTGGATGTCCTAAGGAAGAGGGTTTTTCTCCGAAGATGAATAGGGCTGCTGGGTTCAATCATGAAATAAGGGACGGGGAGATGGTCTTAGGCAGCTTCCTGTCTCCCCTGGAGCTCACTTTCAGGAACGGTACCCTTCCTTCCTGTGACATCTCCTGACACGTGAGCTTGGAGCACAGTGGGCACAGCCTTCTGCTTGGTGCTGTGGTATGTAAGAGTGTGTGCCAGGCATTCCCTGCCCAGAAGGCACTTCCAGTGAAATCCAGAAAACCAGGCTTAGTTGAAAACAAAATAACAAGGCCTGACTGGGTATGATTAAACGAGCTAGAAAGATAACTGAAACTGGGGGCAGGGCGAGGTGTGTGCGCGAAGCTCTCTGGAGCAGCACTGTTAGAAGAGGCTTCCTGGAGAAAGCAGACTTTGAACCTGGCCTTGGAGGCAGCTTAAACCCTGAGCTCCCCATTATAGTTTCCGAGGGCAGGCCCTACGGACCCACTCCTGATCTTAAGTCACCGCTGTAGTTTTACTTCCGTTTTTGTGATTATTCCATTTGTAACCATTTCCCTCCACAAGACCCTGTGTTCTGTGGGGGCAGAGAACAGATTGCATTTTCCTCACCTCTGTTTCTGGGCCAGCACACAGTAGGTCACCAATACAGGGTGACCCCCAAAAATGTGTACACACTTTAACAGCTGATGGTTATTAGATGAAAATGAAATGTATTTTAGTAGACACTGCCTTTATAATTATTCAAAGTGTGTGTATACATTTTTGGGACACCCTATATTTGTTGGATTAACATATGAGTGAGTAAATGAGCGAATGGTGAGAAAGAAGGGATAAAGCTTTCAGGGTGCAGAAACAATACAAGCAAAAGGCAGAGGCAGGAACACAGTGTAGTTACTACCCCTTATGTTTGTACAGTGCTTTACTGCCCATGAAATGCACTAACACACCATCTCGTTTGATCCCTACTGTCAACTGTCTTGTTTGACCCTGTGCAGTTAGCAGGGCAGGTGTTATTCCCGTTTTACAATGAAAAAACAATAAGCTCAGTGATTTGCCCAAAGTTTCACTGCTACTTAGTATGAGTTCATACTTCAACCTGGTGTTTTAACACAAAGTCTGGTGCAGTAACTAAATTACCATCCTCCTTGGTGTTTCCCAAGGGGGAAACATATGGCGAGATGCATCTGGAGGGGTGATCAGGGGCCAAGTCACAGAAGGCCTTAAGTTTCAGGCTGAGGAGTTTGCACTTTACTTTCTAGCTGGTGACAACCTTTGAGAGGTTTTCGTGGTTTTTTTAAAGCTGTTTAATAAAGAATAAATATTAATGGTATTTGTGAGGTACGGTATAAGTTTAATTGCACATTAATATTTATCTAAAATAAACATACAGAAAGTAAGTTTAATTTTAAGACCAAGAATCAAAGACCCAGGAGTCAAAGAAGTGATCTCTACTGAACTCAGAGGGTTGTTAATCACACAACTTGGAGCAGCACTATACTCCAGGCATCTTGCTAGATGCTAAAGACACAGAGGTGACCGAGATGCAGGTCATTGTCAGGACAGAGTGAGATCATGTGAGCAGCTAGACCAGCTCAAGATCATTATTGCCCTCCCAAATAATGAAGGATGTGTGAGCTGAAAAAGCCCTGATGGCATCACCTCAAAACTGCAAAGGCAGAACTTCAGTTCCGAGGAGGTGCCTGAGATGAAGCCCCTGCAGCAGCGCTTAAGCCTTTCCTCTGGGACCATCCCAGAACAAAATGTAGTTGCTGTTGACAAATTGGACCACAAGGATGCCTACTTAGAAGACAAAGCTCCCACTTGTACACAAATAGCTCACAATACTCTGAGGCAGTATCTGGGAAAAGCAGGATCATCTGCAGCAGTTTCCTAACAATATGCCCCAGGAAAAGCCTGATGATTTGCGGTGAGGGGCAGGCATGTTCCTATCCCTATCACTGCCATGGCCAGCCATGGTTACTGGTGGGAGTCTGGGTATCCCTCTGATATGTCTGGAGTAGGGAAAGATTGAAAACCACAAACCTAGGTTATCTGTAAGTTGTTTGATCCAGAAAGGAGCCTGGGCCATTAGATCTGGTTCTATGAAATAGGTATTAGAATTGTTCTGCATGACCCCATGGATTAGAACTAGGAAAGATCTAAGGAAGAACTTTCCAACTGCTAGGACTAGACTTCAAAGACAGCATGAAGCTGTCTCAAAGGTCAGTGAGAGTTCCCTGACACCGGCTATATCCAAGTATAGACAGGAGAGATGATGTGGAGAAGATTCAAACATTGGAAGGGTGTTTGGACCAAATGGCCCTTTTGATCATGAGATGCACTCCTATTTATTGGGTGGTGGTTGCCAGTGCTATTGATGTCAAGAAGAAAGGTTTCAGTGACAAATGATCAGAGAAAGATGCTGAATTACTTCATTCCTCAATGTATTGGATCCCTCCTATGCTGAGCACTATCCTAGGCACTGGGGAACCTAGAGTGAGACATAATTCCTACCTTAAAGGAAGCAGAGTGCAGACATACAGTTTAGGGAGAGGGAAAGGAGTCAAGAGCAGGAGTTAAGTAAGGACCACCTACTTTATGTAAGGCATCATTAGATGCTTTTATGTATAATAGTCACCCCTTGTCTGTGGGGATACTTTCCAAGACCCCCAGTGGATGACTGAAACCACTGATAGTACCAAACCTTATATATATTATTTTTTGTCCTATATATACATACCTTTTCACTTAAAGGAAACACTTTACAGCTTCTATTTGATGTATCCAAATTGCCAGCATCACTACTCTTGAGCTTTGGGACCATTATTAAATAATTATTAAGTATTACAGTGTCAGATGGGTACTAGATTTATCAGGGTGAGCACTTCATAAGTTATATAAATGTCTAATCATTTATAATGTTTGTACACCTGAAGCTAATTTTTATACATCAACTGTAATTGAAAAATAAAACATGATTTAAAAAAAAAAATCAAGTGGCATCAAACTACATGACAGGATTATAGAAAGTAAGAGTGAAGAAGCATTTTTTTAAAACTCAAGTAAAAAGTATGAGCCAAGGATTTTAGTTTTAAACTTTCAGAACTCAAGAAATTTTATATTCAAGAGCTCCTGCTGAGGATTCTACTAGGGGTCAAGTTTCATCTAATTAAGAGATGCTTGGGAAATTTTGGCAAAAGAACATATAATGAAAATTGAATAGGTTTAATTATTAATCTAAGGCTAAAACAAATATGGAGATACGAGTTGAAGAGCATTCTCTGACAAAGTAGAAATACAACTTAAATTGGGAGCAAAGGGGAATGTCGAATAAGCTCAATGATTGGTACACAGGTTGTAGGTGGGAGTCAAAGGATATCATTTAAACTAGCAAACCAAATAGAATCCTAAGTGGCAAGGATGCTGCAGAGTAAGAGCTGAGATTCTTAGGTATTCCAGTATAGACCACCTTATCTATCCTTGTTGATGGCTTCACCTAAGCTTCCTCATGCTCTGACCCTTGTGGTATCTTTTAAATATTTCAAGTATCAGATAGGCTCCATTCTAGACAAACCTGAAACTGAGGGTCCGTATGATGTTGATTAAACTTAGCTTTAAATCCTAGCCCTAGAAATCATCTCGCTCTCTATATATATACCCCTAGAAACCTAGCCTTTCCCCCAGATAATCACAAACCCCCTAGGCAGCAGAAGACAGTAGCTTGGATCTGACAAATGGTCACAGGGTCCACACTTAGGGCAGGCTAAAGATAACATCTTTAAAATATATATACTTAATCCTCATGTGACAACATGTTTCCATTTATTTTAGTGAGAGAGGAGGGAGAGAGAAACATCAATACAAGGGAGAAACATTGATTAGTTGCCTCCCACATGTGCCCCAACTGGGGATCGAGCTTGAAAGCTGGACATGTGCCCTGACCCCAAATCAAACCCACCACCTTGGACGACGCTCCAACCAACTGAGCCATACTAGCCAGGACTAAAGATAACGTCTTGACCTGTTATGTTTCAGCTCCTGAGCCCTAAGGTAGAATGACCCCTGGCTGTTTTACCATGAAACCAGAAAGAGGGACACCAGAAGAGACCTCAGAGTTGTCCCTAAGACCTGAAGAAATAATTTATTACCCTTACCTCGCTTCTGACCAATCAGCTCCCAGCACGACCCCAAATCCTCTAACCCACAGTGTTTTGTGATTTGCACTATATAACCTGTAATCTATATACCATCGGGAAGTTTGGGTTTTTGATCTTTAGCTTCCTGACCTCCTGGGTGGTTTATAATGAAATAGCCAATATTTCTCCACTACAAAAAGTAAAATAAAAAATAACGGTTACTTGAACACAAGCACTGTGATACTGTGACAGTTGATCTGATAACTGAGATGGCTACTAAGTGACTTACAGGTGGGTAGCGTAGATAAGCTGGAAAGGGCTAATTCACAACCCCGGTGGGATGGAGCAGGACGAGTGAGATTTCATCACACTACTCAAAGGCACACAATTTAAAACTTACAAATTGTTTATTTCTGGAATTTTCCCTTTAATATTTTCAGACGGAAGTAGACCATGGGTAACTGAAACCATGGAAGCGAAACCTCAGATAAAGGGGGACTTCTGTATTTCCAATTCTTTCAACAAGCGACACAGTAGCGATTCCTTGCGCTTTAGGAGAGGACACAGGATGAGAGACTAAGTGACTTGCTAGGCTTCTATGAACAGAATCTGAGTTCTGCAGCCAACCGGCTTTGTGAGACAGGGGGATCTGATTAACCTCTAAATATCAGCTTCCTCTTTTGTAAAATGGGGATGGTGACATCATTCACCTCAAGGAAAGATTCAATGAGATCATTCCTACAGAGTGCTCGTAAGACTTGTCAGGTAAAGGGTGCTCGGTTTAACCACAGCTATCATTACCTTTGCCAGAAGCTACGCAGCCAATGATGGCCAGGCCGGCTTTCGAGGATAGGGCTCTCGAGTCGCCCCGTCACCCTCTCGCTTGGAAAGAGTCTGGCTCCGGCGGATGAATTACCCTACGGCCTCAACCCTGCCACAGCTCTCAGGCCTCTCTCTCTTTCCCCGCCCACTTCCCCAGGCTAAAGCCACCTCCCCGGTCCCGCCCCTTCCGTTGATCGGACTTCCGGTTCGCGAGCGCGTGCTGCCGAAGCCCCGCCTGCCGGTCGGTAGCCACCCAGTAAGCGCCTCTGAGATTGGGCGGGCGGCAGCGGCACAGGCGGGTCAGAGGCCCCGGGTAGGTAGCACGCCGCGTGGGCGGGTTGGCGGCAGCGGCTGGGCCCCCCGGGAAGGGGGGGCAGCTCCGGGGTTGCCTCGTTTTACAACGGCGTCCGGGCCACCCGGCCTAGAGGAGTCGAGCCAACCCCGGGCTGTGCCCTGTGGCTGGGCTGGGCTCTGGGCGCGCAGAACCACCGCCCGAGGCGCACCAGTCGTGTCGCGAGGTGGGGTGTAGTGTACGCGCCTTTTTTTCAAGCCTTGGCTACAACTTACTGAGCACGTGCCAGGTAGCAGCCCCTGGATCAAACGCGTTTACATCCGTGGCTCACTGCCTTGACAGCGACCGAGCAGTGCTATTTTTCCCTGTTTTACAGCTGTGAAGAAAGGTTTACAAGTAGAAAGCGGTGGAAAATGTGGATTCATATCCAGGTTCAGTGCAAAGCCACTTCACTTAGAACTTTGTGGTCAGACCTAAAATTGTGTTTTGAATCCAGCCTCTGCCGTTTCCAGTTTTGTGACTTTGGGTAGCGTTCTGACTCTCAATTTGCTCACCTGAAAAAACGAGAATGATACCTATCTCAGGGTGGATGGAAAGTTCTGGGCTGGATAGCTGATGTTTTGCTGAGCGATCATCTTCGCTTTTCAGACAGGCTTTCTTTGCTTTTCTCTTCCCCAGGAGGGGAGACTGGTTGTAAAGTTTTAGTGAAATCCCCCCCAGGCGGCTAGTAAGAGGGCGGCTGGGTGGAGGCCTGCTTCTCCTCCTTTCCCAAGTGGAGTCCTTGGCACCTTTGGCACTGAGTTTGCTTATGAAGTTTTCAGAGGTTTTTCTCTCTTCCTTACATATGGAAAAATTTTCACCCAAATTAACTTTGACATTAAGTCCTAATTTTAAAGTTGAGGAAATGGAAGCTTTTGAATATGGAGTGGGGGAGCTGATTTTACCTGAGTAAGTCAGATTGATTTGGCGGGGTGCAAACAAAGACCTGGAAAACAGTGAAATGGTAGAGAGCTGGCTGATGAATAGAAAGTGAACAGGCCAGTTAGTGTTTTTTGTGGTTTTCTTTAGCAGGGCCCTAAATTCTCACCAAATCCTCTTACCTTGAGCAGTTAGAATCTGTCCTGGATAAAATGTTTAAAGGGTTCAGAGCCTTTCCTTGCCCCTGCCTTAAGGAGAAAAGACCAGGGCTGATAGCTGAAGGCAGGCAAACAGTGAGCTTAGCTTTGTTCTGAAAACTACCCACTTGCATATTTTTAGGTAGCTGAAATTTTTCTTTGAAAGTTTCAGTAGTTCCAAAGGGTATGATTTGTAGTTAATTGTAAATATTGACATTTGAAAAATAAAACTTACATCAGGAATTTAAATCTTTAGTGGAATCTACTAAATACCTCATCCTTTGAAAAAAATACACAAACCAGTTTATTTAACAGTTGAAATTTTACATCGTTCATTTTTCGTCCTTGAATTCATATTTCCACTTTATTTCCTTGACGAAATTTTTTTCTAGTATAATAGATTTTATGCTTGAAAGCTTTTTACTTGTCATCCTACTTCTCCGCAACAAAAATACACAAAAATTAAAACATTTTTAACAATTGTCACAATATTTAACATTTTCCTTGAGATCAAGTTTTTACAATTTAAAATACACAATTGATCAAAACATAAATATATTACTAGTTTTGATCATTGTTAAACATAAAAAGTTTTATTTGAAAATGCTTATTTTCATAAGCTGAGTGGAACTACTTCTTTTAGTTCATGCATTCATCAGTGTATATTTGCTAGAATGAGCACAACTTTTTTATTCCATGACTAAGCATTGATAAAGTTGGTTCTTGTAAGTAAATACACAGGAATTGAAGGCATTTGGCTGTGACAGTATTACTCAATTCTTTGGACATCTTCAGAGTTACGGGCCAAAAAGTCACAGTGATCTATTATTGAAATCGTTTATTAACGATCTGTCAGCGGACAGTTTTTTTAGGTCCTCCTTTAACTTGATTGAAAGCAAAGGTTTAGAAACCACCTGACTCAGCAGGAGGATTTGTTACAGTCACCATAGGCAGTTACAGCCTCAGCACGAATACTGGTATTTTGAATTGCCCCTTTGTGGTGCCAGGGATATTTTGCACTGTGTGACAGTGCACAATAGTTAAGATTTGCCATGGGTGGGTAGTTGTGCCTTTTTTTGAAACATGGGAGGTGGGTGAATTTGAAGGGGGGAGGGGTCTGGGAAAGGAGAGTCTGTAGGCAAGTTCCGTGGCTGATTTGTTCTCATAGGAAGAAGATGGGCAGTTGAGATGAAATTGATTCCTTCAAACTGTGCCTTTGTGCCCCTTAGAAAAGCTTAATGCATCTCGTAGGGCTCCTCATTCCCCATTGTGAAGACCACCTGGAATTACCGTGGGCAAATACCTGACTTCTTTTAACTTCCATTTCTTCACTTTTAGAATAGGAGTAAATCAAAGAACTGACTTCATTGGATTGTTGTGCTGATCAGATGGGATCAAAGATGTCCCTGGCACGTGGAGAGCACTCTGTGGGTGGCTGCTCTTATACTCTAATTCCTGCCTGCTGGGAAATATACCTTCCTAGGCTCTCTGCCTCAGTTTCCTCAGCTGTGAGCCCAAGATACTGTCAGCCCAGGAAAGTTGAGGTGGGAAGTGATGTGAAAAGGTTTTGTGATTCTCGTAGTAAGTTTTCTAGACCATATTATGTTCTTATTTTGAAATAGTTCATGTTGAGTTCCTGCTTACTCATGAGCTGGACATTTTGCTTCATGGTTTATGTATTCATTCAACAAATATCTTTGGAGGGACTTCTACTTTCGGGCCCTGTTTTAAGCATACAGCTGCTCCCAAATTCTAGGGAGAGACAGAATACAATAAATAAACAGATGGTCAGTATGTTGGGTGGTGATAAATTGATAAGTGCTGTGAAGAAAAGTGGAACAAAAGGAGAATAGAGAATGAAATGGGGGTGTTATTTTGTAAATTCAGGACAGCCTCTGGTAGGGGGACAATGGGGCAGAGAAGGGAGTTAGCCATGCCGTCCCCTGGGGGAAGAACTTTTCACATGGAGGGAATAGCATGTCCATAGGCCCGGTGGGAGTGTGCATAGCATGGTCAAGGAGCAGTAAGGTGGCCAGTGTGTCAGGAGGGGTGTGATCAAGGTGGAGAGTGGCCGGAGGTGCCTGCGGAGGAAATACCGGCGTCTATCATGAAACCCAGTAGGACTCTGTAAGGACTCAGCTTGTACTCTAAGTGAGACGAGAACCATTGGAGGGTTTTGAGCATAGCAATCACATGATCGGACTTGCATTTTTAAAGGGTTGCACTAGCTTGGCTGCTGTATTATGAATAGACTGTTGGGGAACAAAGGTGGCAGCAAGGAAATCGCTCAGAGGCTGCTGCAGTAGTCCAGCAGCAAGATGATGGTGGTAGATGGGAGAGGGGATATTGGCCTGGTTGTAAAGGTGGGAGGCAGAGCTGGCAGGGGGCACCGATGGGTGGATGAAGATTGTGAGAGAGGAGCCAGAAGGACACCCAGGTATTTGGCCTAAGCAATTGAAAGGATGGAGGTGCCCTTTAGGGAAATAGAGTAGACTTCAGTGACTGACATGTCACACTCTGAGTTGCGGAAGATAAGGTGACCATAACATATGTTACCTCATTTAATCCTGACAAAAGCCCTGTGAGTAGTCATTATTGATCCCATTTTATATGCAAGTTAACAGTTTCACAATGCTAGCATATTGCCTAAGGCCACACAACTAGTTTAAGGGACGGAGCTGAGATGTCAGCCAAGGCCCCTATGACACCCTGAGAGATGGCATTCCCTTTGATCCCTTTCTGCATAAATGCCAGCATAGTAGTTCAGTCCAAACTCTCTGCTCACCCATAAAATCTCTCTGTAGTGATGGTTTGTACTTGGAGAGTGCTCAAGAAGAGACACCTGTTCCTTCCCTTCCCTTGGTGTTGGCAAGGGGAGAAGGGAGAGGAAGACTGACTGCCAACACCTTCCCTTGTGGCCCCCTTCAGATAATTGACAGCTTGGAGAAAGTGGTGACTTAATAGACCTAGCAGACAAGGGAACTTGGGCTCAGGTTTAAACAGCAACCTCTCATCAGTAGTACAAGATCAGGAGTGGGGAAACCATAGATAAAAATAGCATTTACTAGTTAACTGGAAAACAATATATTTTTGCAACCACTGCTTCCACAAGAAAATAATTGGGTCCCAAGACAGAAAGTGACTCGTATTCGTGAATGATTATATTGATCATTGGAGCAAAATGGATACATACCCTTTGGAGAGCAATTCAAAGGAGAAGGGCATGGCTGGTCAGTCATGCCCAGTATGAGATCCTGAGAGGCTGCAAAAGGAGGAAGAAACAAGCTGCCAGCTAATGAGGGAGGCAGGTTTCGGCTGTTGATTGGGAGATGCAAAGCATAGAACTCACCTCCAACTGAAGTCCTGAGCTCCCCCAAGGGAGGAAAGAAAGTATCCATTCAAATATCAATTCCTTATTCTCTTTAACCCATTAGGAGTTTGGGTCCAGCCTCCCGTTTGCCACTGACGGGAATGTGACCCTAAGTATTTCCCCTCCCCTTCCCTGGTCATTCAGTAAATTCTATAGTTATTAAATACTCTTTCATAACTAATAAGGAACACTGGTTGAGTGCTTAATGTGTACCAGGTACTATTCTAGGCACTTTACGTGTGTTAACTCATTTATTTTTCACAGCAACTGAGCGTAGGTTCCATTAGCTCCATTTTGCAGATGAAGAAACTGAATCGAAGAAAAGTTAAGTAACTTGACCAATATCACTCACTTGGTGAGTGACAGACAAACACTGGACACTATGCTAGATGATGGAGACAAAGGGGTACAAAATGGACATAGCGGTGGCCTCATGGAGCTTATTTTATCTAATGTGCTGAAAATAGTGAAACAAATGAAAGTACGAAGCACGAGGAGTACAAGGGAAAGAAGTGGAGCGGTGAGAGATGTCAGGGCCCGATTTGGGTTGGGGGTGGAAGAGGCTGCTTTTGGGTCCTCACTCAGAGAGACCGCCCTGGTCCCTCATCTGAAACACTGGCTCCCATCACCCTTGATACCCTCCCCTCCTTAGCACCACCACATGTATTATGAGCTTCATGTTTATATCACACACCCTTCCTCACGAGGTAGAGTAAGCTTTGTAGGGACAGGTACCCTTGT